CAATTACCATTAAATATAAAAAGGTCCACAATAAAACATGGAGGAGCTAACACAAATTAATACACATCTCATATTAATAAATACAAGTCAAGTGTGGTCACAATGTACTTAATTTAGACGATTTACCGTTTTTAGGATAGCGACGTGGACACTTGGGTTCCTTCGGTGATTCTCGGAAGTCGTAAACGGCCGGTAAGACTGCGCGGGCGCTTCGTTTGTACATATCATCCAGCTTTCTACGTATATGTCGTCGGATGTTTGTATTGCGGTCGTTTACATAAAAACCGAGAGGAAAAAAATATAAATAATGATTTGATTTGTATAAGTAAACGCGAGTTTGTGAGGGTTGTATCCAAAAAGGTGCCATATAAAGTTTCATGTGGACAAAGTCACAATTTAATTAAAGCTTGAAGATTTTTCAATCGTATGGAAGCCAAGGAACTAATACTGATGTAAACGTACTTTGCGTACATATAAGCTTCCCATGCCTTTAAATTCCTTGCCATATAACTTTGAAAAAATAACTTATTATTATATTCAAACTATTGCAATTAGATCAAAGATCTGAAAAACCTATGAGTTTCAACTTTCAACAGAGGAAATATCTAGTAAATTCACATAAAATCATACACACATCAATCACATTAAACATATTCTCGGTTCAAAAAAAACCTGACGTATAATTTCACCTTGCATTCTATAACCATGTTTGTCATTTTATGAATGAATATCATCACATCACATCAACAGCCTTTACTAGTCCACTGCTGGACATAGGCCTCTCCTTAGAAAGGAGGTTTATGAATGAATATAACGAGTTTAAACTACAAAGTTGCTGATGCTCAGACCTCCTAGGCCTTCATTAAGGACGGTGTGGTCTATGTATATTGTGGCCTGGTTTATTTACTGTTAAGCCGGAGGTCATCGGTTCGATTCCCACCCAGGACAAATATTGTGTGATAAACACGGTCATTTGTTCTGTGTCTGGGTGTAACTCATCGTTAATTTGTAGGTTTTTATTTAAAAATAAATATGTATGTTTATCAGCAGTCTGGTTACCATCGCACTGGCTCTGCCTAGTTTGGGGTAAGACGGCCGCGTCTGAGATATATTATTTACTACTATTATTATTATTTAAGATTATTGGGGAGAGCCTTGGGGAAGGCCTATATCCAGCAGTGGACGTGTTTCGGCTGAGATGATGATGAGTTTGTTTGTTTGTTTCTTACACTTTCAAAACCAAACCACTAAACTGATTTTAAAAATTTTACTTTCACACAAAGCATTATCAGTGAATAACATAGCTGCAAAAGCCACGGGGCAAAATCGAGTAATAAAAAAATGATAATTCTATTGTACTCTAAACGAGACATAGCTTTACCTCTACTGGGTACTACGAGTACTATAGTTTCTAGTGTAGCGTATAGTTTCTATCCATATAAACAATATTCCTTCCTTTTCAGTGACATCCTTATTCATTATCTTTCCCTTTCCATATACTTCCAATTTCCCCAATTTCAATTCCCAAATTGTCCGATTATCAGCAATAGGCCTGCCTGCTAGTTCGTCAGGTGAATCAAATCATGGTATAAAAGATGTTGTTATTATGCACTATTTCAAACAAATTACTAACTTTTGCATTCTAAGTTAAGTGCATGCTGCCAAGTAACAGTCTAAACTAAATAACAACTACGTGCGTTGCTTCTAAGTTTACGGTTCGAATGACAAATGAGCAAAGAAAATAATTGCTCTTCCTAGTAGAATGCACTGCTACGCCAATAAAATTGCGTACCCGGTATCAGTTGAATAAATCTTTATAAGAATAGCAATAAACTTTCAAACAGTGAACTGAGCTTAAATAAGAACTATAAGTGCGTTTAGAAATAAAGTTCACCTCTAGATACTACTAAACCAAATCTATAATGAACGAAAGATGCTTTGGAACTTTTTTAAAGAAATTAATGTGGCTAGGCTGCCCAACTGCATAAGGTGACCCTTAGGCATTTTAATATAGTATAAGATATATGACTAAAATTTTAGGTTGCAGAAAAGAACCTATACTCTTAGAACATAATATACTGTTAAGAACTAGGCACGGTTATTGGTTCATTGTTATAAATGATGTCAAAATTGTTACATTAGGATTTGTTTAGGAGTTGGTTGAGCTCTGAGAAGTTGAAAATTCTAAATTTATGATTACAATTCTATTCCATTCCCTAATACCTATTTCTCCAAATACACGCCCAATGAAGATTTATTGTTCAGTTTGATACAAAGGTACCTTAGTCCTGATCAATTACTCAGTGATTTTATTGCAAACTCATATGTAACATCTTCCCTCGATCGAAATACACCAACCCGTTCTACTACAACAGATGATAACTACCTCAGCTCTATCGTCTTATAACCTGTAGCAAATACAGAGTCTTCTCTGAACTGAAGAGCCCTAAATTCGATTAGTTGAATTTTAAAAAAATAAAAATAAAATGTAATCACCTGCACGTTATTTTAAAGTTTTTGATAAAGCTATGCTATAGAATAAAACATTTTCATATAATAAATTCCTTGTAAATACATTTTCCAGTTTCATTAAATTCTAAGTAGAGCCACATACCGTACTTCATTTAACTACAAATCTTACCAAACATACAATACTGTCCATTCAAATAAACGATCCCAGCAATCAATGGAGTCAACGAGGGCTTATGGTCGAGTCTATTTCCATGTCATTAAGCCGAGCGTACCGAGTGTCGAACCGCTTATATTAATATCGTACGGCGGTCAAAAGTTAATCGGGTTTAAGTCGCTCGCATCGCCCACGAAGATTCATCACAATCGTCATTATTCACACACAAATTATGTAATTTCAATAAATGGAGCTTATTGAATAGCGATGAGCGTCGGTAGGCTACAGTGGAACCCCTGCAGAGAACCTCTACAACGAGGTGTTTAGCTTACCTCACCGTATCTTATACCTGTAATAAGACGTCATACAGTGCCGTTTTTCAATTACCTTTTTTAAAATAATAGGTACAAAACACGCAATGTAATTAAACTATAAAATTATTTTACTATTAAAAAATTTCAAGTACAACTTTCCCAGTAAGCACTTAGATCCTCATTGTCTAAAATAAATGCATTTTGTTTGAATACATCGCAGAGGTCGCGAGGAGTGTTAATGAATCTTTATATGGTAAAAAAAAACTACGAAAATTGTAAATATAAATAAGATGCTCTTTGTTTTGTCAACACAATCTTAAAATTGCAATGGTAAATACTCAACGCATAATAAAAGTTTAAGCATATTTATACGAATACGGGGAAACTTACTTCTCAGAGGTAACATTCAAATTCTATACAAACCCTATAATGGTACCTGCATTATAAATTTATGACCTATGATACTATAAACATAACTTTAGCCGTTTGTATATCACGACAGTTCACACATAGCCAACTAATTGTAAAGCGATCATGTAATTTATCATAAAGCTGTTTAAGAAAGTACAATAATAGAGCGTTAAATGGTAAGCGACTTCCCACACGTAAGTAATTGATTTATAGGCAAATATTAAATCTGTTCTCACCAGGCAATCGCATGACTAATGACTACGGTTCAGACAGTTTAAAGTTTTGTTTTTCACCATCAATTCATCTCATGCACGTGTCGAGTTTTGATGGACGCATTATTTTGTGCACGACTCCACTTTTGAATTAATTACAAACGTAAATAAGCATTCTAAATAATACATACCTACAGTCGTTAACTATTACTAAATCTTGGTAAATATGAATAGCTTCCTTGTAACATTTCAGTGTCATATTAAAAATACGTGCATTTTGGCGTAAGCCTGATAAAAAGCAAAGGAATCAGTTTAAAACTCAACGCAATTAATTAAAACAGGGGCTTATCAATCACACGTGTATGGTGAATATAAAATGTCAACAAAACGTCGCAGTGCAAGCGCATCACACTTATCAAAACAATACAAAACGCGGGTTGTCGATAATGATCGCGGGTACGACAACCCTCTAACTCCATTTTTTGTGGGTTGACATCGCGCTAATAATACTCATGAGAAAAATGCGCGCCGGACCCCCGTCATCTTCCTTTTGTTTTTAATTTCTACCTCAGTGGCACCGATTTAATTGGGCTCAGCTCGAGCGAGCGCACCTTCGTATTTCACCTCGCCTCGCTTCATTTGAATATTTAAAGCATTTCGGGTCCCCGCCGTATTATTTTCTTTATTTACACAATATTTATATATTTATTTCAGTGCCGGCGTCATTTATTCGGTGACGTGACTTACCGATGTCGCGTCCTTCCCAGTATCGACATAGTTAACGCGGTGAATTCTCTCGCGTTCCATTTAAAAGTTTGGAGTTCTTTCTTTGGTTTGTCTTTTTGTGAGCAAGCGTCGCACCCGCGTGTGGCAAGCGCTGCTCTTCGTTGTTTTCTCGCCAGCCCTTATCTTCGACAAGATTGCTCGTTTTTAAATGAAGTTATATCGTCTCGATTGAACACCAGACTTCGAAGGCGAAGCGAATTTTTAATTAGTTTCCGAAGATAGAGAATTTTAAGAAGGAATGCAGGAGCCGTGTATGCAGTGCGCGCGGATATCTTAATTGAGACGAGCGCACCGTTTCGAACACCGATGGCGATTTGTTAAGTACTGCAAGATTAATTATAATTTAAGGACTTATATCGAAGTCTATAAACCGGTATATGCTAACTGAAAGTGCTGGTATTTGCTAATGAAGAGAATTAATGAAAGCTATTTTTCGTACTGCCATATTGATGGATCAAGTGTCGGCGCAGTGCACTCTGTGCCATTTCGTAGCGTTATTGCTAAGGGAATATTTCACTTGCAATGATCATTGTAGCAAAAAAAATACGACTCAAATTTACTTAAATGTCTCTTAACAACGGTCTGACAATGGAATTAATATTTATTTAAAAGAACTGAATTAAATTGCACAAATAAATAAAAGGAAAAAAATTAAGATGCAGGCACGAGGGCTACTACAGTAAACCCGATATTGTCAGGTTCTCTGGCAATGAATTGACGGCACACCTTAGCTGCATCTTCCAGAAGTGTTTCAGGAGTTGTATTGCCATGGTTAACAGCAAATGACTTACGTCCGTCTAACTCGTACAAACCACCATCTTTATGGATAAAAGTAACAAAATGATTGTTTACATGTTCCTCAGTTTCTCCAGGTTCATCTTCTGAACGTGCAATTTCCTTATATGCTTCTAGAATGGCTGTAGAGTTCTCGAGCAGCGCTCCTTTGGCACTAGCGTCGAGACCTTTAGCTTCAGTCAGATAATTCTTGAGAAGACCATCGCTTATATCGATGTTATTGATATTATTTGCAACACTATGCACTAAAGCTATAGTTCCGCATACATTACTAAGAACCTGCTTTAAATGAAACAAATCTTTAGGGGGCGGTACATTTTTCTCTTGGAGTTCTTTCTCTTCCTCAGTGCGATGTTTTTCATAGGCCTCCGAAAGAGGGAAAAGCAATACAACAGCTAGCACAGGCCGTGGAACCCACTGTAAAGCCTCACCTTCTAAGCCTATGACGTCAACCATACGCCATTTATCTGACACACCTAATTTCTGCAAATACTTGTTCATAGTGTCCGGGTTGGACTCCATTGGCAATGAAACAGCCATAATAGATACGTATCTATTAATTAATATTTTTACAGTAGAAGTTCTTACGAGATTAAAACTTATGTCAAATATTTTTATTTTTGACGTTCAAATGTCAACTTTCTTCTTAATTCAATAAACTCTTTTGCAAAGTGTCTATCTATATAGTGTATTCCAGAATCCAAATAGGTGTCTGTTTGGATTCTGTAGTATAGGCTTTGGTTTTTGATATTTCAAGCACAAGGACATAAGTAACTTCGACTGCAGAAAAGATGACAGGTGAGAGACAATTCTGACTGACTAACTAATAGAATTATTTGTGCTCTACTGTTTCTAGCCGCGCTTAAACTTTTTGGACGTTAGCTCAAACACGACTCACTTGCTCTATCTGTTGCTAAAGTAAACATTATATTATGCTAACTAAAAGTTATTTCATTCGTTTATGTCTGTGTCTCAGAATAGAAATTAAAAGTAGCTTTATCATTGCGTATTTTTGTTTGTTTTGCGATGGTTAATATTCAAAATGTGTAATGTCATAATCAAAATGATTGTTTTATGTATAGAAAAGAAATCCTTTTTTTTCATATAATTATCATAATTAATTATGTTGTGCTTTCAATGTTAATCTTCGACACAAAAAGTTCCCCTAGTCTAGCCATGAAGTGTGTAATTACCGCAGTTGCGGTTAATTGCGCTAATAGTTGGCAGTAAGCTTTAATACTTTACTTAAACCTATTTCACACATCATGTAGGTATTTGTGTTATGTTATTATTCGTTATCGTATATCAGTGGACACATTATTGGCATGTGTAACTATTATTTATTGCTATAAAAACAGGTGTCTTAATGCATTTCACTTACTTATACACTTAGCTTTAGCTAGTCTGTTCCGTATTAAAGTATTTTATGATATTAGATATTGCGTTCTACAAATGATGTTCTTGAATTCACTGTTAAGCAACGACAAACTTATATGTTACTTAATTATTTATGTGATTTTCATTAAAAAAACTTAAATTATATGTAATTAAACTAAGCTGTACCCTGTCACGCTTTGCTGTGGCACATTGTGATTGCTTTAATGAGAAATGAGCAACAATGCTAACCAAAAATAGATAGAATATAATACTTAGAAGTGGGCCGTAAGTCGTGTCAATATTTGAGCTCAATCTGTGGTACGGTACGATACATTTTGTCTCCTTTTCCAATCCGAGATTTGTAGTACGTATCCAAACGACCAGCCGAAACACTTTTGCAATGTTTGGCATTGTGATGAACCCAAATAAATATTTAAAAAAAATGCAGAAAAAATATTAAGATGATGATGATTCTGTTGACCTAAGGCACTAACTCTATCCTTTAGAAGACGTCAGCTAAGACTGTAAGAAAAAGGGATTGCAATTACACACACTCCTGTTTCTCTAGAGATGTGGTTTCTCTAGGCGAAAGTTTGTGAGTATGCTGTTGTTTGTATGTTTGTTACCACCAATTTTAACAAAATGTGGTATGTAGGTAGTTAATCCAGGGTGGCCCTTTACTAACACATATGTTACTTTAAAAATCCCGAAAAAAATTAGTGTTCCTGTGGAATGAGCAAACAGTTGAAATATATTGATAAACCGCAGTTAACATCGTGGGGCGCAGCTAATGACTAGTTAAATAGTTAAATCGGAGTCCTCGTACTGGTGACAGATGATAGCAAAGATAAGCCTACATTATGTTCCTATATAAATTACTAAATTCATCGGTAGATATTGTACTACTGCGATACTGCCAGAGAACTTTCTCTAATTATAAAATTTACGAAAATTAGAAAAATTCTTACCTGTTTGTATCGTCCACAATCATGCTTAAATAACGACAAAGAAAGTATTGACTTGTGCAGTGATTTCATTCTTAATTTAACTACGACTTGGAGGACTTTCGGTGATTCTAAATTTTTTATTTGTATATTTTGTCGTAGGCAAACGAGCAGACTGGTCAATAAATAGTGTAGCAATAATTTTGTTTAATAATAAAACCGACATTTCAATTCTCCCTCAATAGTGAGAACTAATAGGTACATACACGCTCCCACTATACTCACTCAATAATAGCAGTGATCCATTAAACATTCATCACAACACTTTCTAGTATCTACGTAAATTAGGTTAAACAAAGTCTAAAGGCTCATGAAAGCAAATCAGTCCACGTTATATTGTTGCTCTCAAATTAATTTCATCTCTGTTTCATGTTGTTTTCGCAGTTTGAGATGCTGCTTATTATAATCTCAAATCATATCAAAAAAAAATTATCTACCTATTTCTTTACAGTTTACAGTGACTACGGTAGTTTGGTCAATAAAGAAACAATTAATGACTAGTAAAAACTTAGCGAAGCACACGTCTTCGCGCACGCACGCTACATCATGTAGAAAGTTGAATAACTTCCTCATTTAACAATTAAATTTTCATTGTATGATAAGCAGTTGATCAAGTCATTATTTTATACATATTCGAGCAGTATAAGTAACAAGAGTCATCACACAATGAGCTTGTTTCACAAACTGCCTACATAATTTTATTAATACGTCCATAAATATTGCATCAGTGTATTGAATGCATTCGCAACGAGGCGACGGTGAATGGGTGTTGTAACATGGGTCGGATCGTCAGAATGAGGCTTCCCTCTCATTAAGGTGTCAAATTTTGTCAAATATACCGGCGTCCATTAAGGGAGTGGGCGGTACTATTGAGAAGTTTTCAGCTTTGGTGAAGATACACGGCCTAAGTGTTCATGGCAATGAGTCCGAAGACAATCATTTAATATTTAGTTTATTTTCATTTTATATTTTTTTAAACAATATCGTAATCCCGATATTTAAACCCAAGTTAAATTAAAGGTCCCTTCTATTTATTGATAAAATATGTTAAATCAGTTGATAATTAAGATAACAGGCATAGCAGCTACTTTGACTGAATAATAATAGGAATTTTCAATGAGCATTGGAGGTAATTGGGCATAGTAGGTAACTAAAAATAACCGTTTCTTCCCGCTTAAAGATTGCATTCAGATAAAGGATTTGTTGTACCAGTACTTCTTAGGATGAACAGAGTTCTAAGCCTTATGCACTAAGGCTTAGAACTCACCCCTCCTCGGTTAGTGTTTAATTTTATCCTAATGCAATAATAAACGACCAGAAACTTTACTAAAAAATATTCAATCGATAGGTGGCATTAAAATGCATGCCAATATGTATACCGTTTTAAATTTTGGTGATGGATACAAAATAAAACAGCCTTCATCAGTGTTTTCATATTCTGTAATTTGGCAAAACAAGAAAAGAAGAAAAGATTTTTTCTTACATTTATACTTTCTTCTGCCTCTACAGAAATAGTTCTACAAGCATGTCATGTAGCTTGGCTTGCGTTGTGTGCTTTTGCTATTTAGTTTAATAAAACGGAGTAGATCACACTGATACGGCAAAAAATATTTAAAAAAAAATACACATCAGTAGCTTTTTCTTGCGTTAACGTTGCGTCATCACAATAGCAAACACACTAAAAGCTGAAACAAAAACCATTGATTAATATATCAATTTGTAACTGTATATGACACCGCCACACCCCCGTAAAGTACAAGTAAAAACATGCCACGACAAGATCCACGTTATCTCTATATCTCCGAACTTATCCTGCATACATTATCCGTTTATAACAAGTTTATGATGATGTCTACTGAATACCTTCAATTATTGACCCAAGAGCGCTTATTATATAGAAATCAATCGGTAAATACAATAATCGTTTCGCATGACAATGCTATAGCAGGCTTTGAAGCTTTGGAAATAGTTCATATTTTATTACGAGCTAAGTATGTAAATATTTTTAATTAGCTATACCTACCCAACTAAAAAAGACCTGCGGTTTCTTTGTGTCCAGACGTTTATGGTATAAGTATGTGTTTTGTAGCAGCAAGTCACCGCGACATATCGCCTGAACCCTGGTTATATTGTGGGCAAGAGTATTTTAGGTTGCGTGCAAGAGAACGTCAGTCCAGCCGTCAGACAGCCTAAATGGACGAATGATGGGGCTACCTATCGTTCTGGGGTTTACAGGGAGTTTTTTTTCCTCTGAGAACCATGTGCATTTTGTAATTAACCGTTATGTACCAACTAGATTAAAACGAATTTCAAAATAAGAGTAGAAAATATTCCAATATCTTAAGATATAACCAGGCGCCACTGTCTATAAAGCGGTACCTAATGGTAAAGGTTCTCCGATAGAATAAGACGTACTATGGAAAACAATGTTGGTTCAAAAATTGACACTTACAAATTGAATAACATTTTACAGAAATCTCAACCTAATTTAGAAATATTGAAATTTAAAAACATACTTAGACAAAAGATATACATTTTTAATGATTTGAACAACACAACAGCAAACGATTTCGTGGCAGTTGCAAAAATAAAAATAAAACAAATTCATGCATCTAAATATTTATTCCGCCCATTTACATATAAATTGATAAGAAATGGCTACATTTCATCACTAGTTAGCTCGTTTCGCTCAAAAATCATAACTACGCTTTTGTACTGAATAATTCTATTTGGCGATGTCCTACCCACCTAATTAGTTTTTATTCGATTTCCACACCAATTGATCAACAGTAAAATCTATGGTACAACAATAAGGGCTAGTTTTCCACTAGATGTCGACACTTCTTACTTTGGTTTATTTTAAAATCCGTACAATATAATATATGTTTACCATTACTCGGTCATCTTTGACAAAACTGAACTGGACATTTATTTTACTCATGGCGACACTAGTAAGGTAATATTAGCCGTCATTAATTAAATGAATAGATATTAAATTATTTATAAAAATATGTGAAGAAGTTTTTGGTACGTTACAAATAAGTTTTATGCTACGATTAGTTTTAAATATAAATGTAAACTACTGAGATAACTTTAACGTAAGGAATACAATAAATCACACATAACTGTCTATGCTTTAACTAGTTGAATATCAGTCAAAAATCGTTCAGCTTAGGTAACTCAATACTTTTTAAACATAACTATAATAAATATTCAAGATTCGAAACGTTTACGTTTACGTTAGTCACATGTGTCACCACCCCGAATATATATATATATATATACCTTGCAATATTCGGTATAAAATGAAGTGTTAATATAATTAATAGTCGAGGTGATACGACTGCAACTGTATACAATTATTAAAAAGATGTTTCGATAATTCGCGCTTAATGATTGTGCATCTCCCATTTATTCTTACCCAAGAAACCAACAGGAAAGAATGGAGAACAGTCTCAATATCTAGTGAACATAAGAAAGTGACTTGCAAACCAGGTACTTACTACTTCTACAGGGCTACAACACAGGGCTCAAAATTACCATTCGGAAGACCCAAGAAATGCGATCTGAAGTGGAAAATCGCTTACCTCTACGGATTGGTGCAGAGGATGTGGAGCGCGTTCACTAATTTACATACCTCGGAAGCATCATGTCAGAAAATAGGGGGTATCGAAGAATACATCACTTTGCGCAATGCCAATTCTCGAGCTGCCTTCGCACGAATTCGACCTGTGTGGCAGTCACGGATATTGCCTCGAAGAGTTCAAATTATTCGGGTACAATGTCGACGTATTAATGAATGGGTGTGAAACGTGGAAGTTCTTCATTAACCGTTGCCTTCTCATAATTCTTTGCATATACGTGCCGAGAACATCTTCAACCAACAATTGATGGAACCTCAATCGACCCAGACGATTAAACACCGAAAATGGGGCTGGGTCGGCCATATTCTTCAAAGGGACTCCGATCACATCCCACAGCAGGCTCTAGACTGGAACCTCCAGGGAAAGCGCAAGCGTGGTCGTCCAAGGCAAACTTGGCGACGAACAGTGGCAGATGAGGCGAGGAACATCGGCAAGAAATGGTGCGAAATGAAGCACAAGGCTTAGAACCCATCGCGATGGACTTGCAATGGGCGCCCTCTGCCCCATACAGGGGTCATAGGACATTAAAGAAAAAAGAATAAAAGTGACCGTCCGTCTTCCTCCCATCGACCCTATTGTTCTTTGATAACCAAACGTATATTTATGAAATGGACTTTTATTGATTTACGTTATAGAAAGGCCGTGACCGTGGTCAACTCAACCAGTCACCTTGTAATACATATTGCGTGTACGTGTTAATTCTCACACGTATACATATATCATGGAGCACGAAACTATAAGATTTAGTAATACTTACTTCATTCTTTACTACAAGCTTCTTGGGCATAGATATTTAAGCTGCGACGTATCGATATAAACACTGAATACGTTAAAATATTTTAAGTAGGACAACGACAGATTGAAAAATAATTGTTTTATATTTTCAGCATAACATAATCTCGTAAGGAATAATTTTTAAATCCGTCATTGTAATACTTTTACGAGGGTATGCATCTTTGTCAGGTGTATTTTGATATTCATCAACATATTAAGTTCAAGCACTTTTAAATAGTGTCATTCATTTCCGAGATTGTGGATTTCTACTTACGTTTCGGTTACATTTAGAAAAAATCTAGAATCTTCCTTCAAGAATACGTATTATATAACCAATGTCAACATTGAAGATTACATGCTAGTCACAATGTATAAAACATACCACGTCGTTAAAAAAGGAAAAAATATTACATTTGAGATGAGTAGTAATTATAGATAATAAATTAAATAATATATCGAATAGAAAACTGAATTACTTTTACTATTATTACTTGAGCGATTTACATGCATGGAACATTTTAAAACTTTATGCATATTTTATAAGTATAATTTGAAACTACGAAAAATAGAAAATGACACCATCAAAAGCAAGGATTCTATAGAAAGTATTTGCTAATATGTTGTAAAAATGCAGTCCATTATTCCCAAAAAAACATTGGAAAATAAATCAATTTAATGCGCCTGCAAGTAAATAGCTACCAGTTTTTTTTTAAATTCAATATTAATGTATTTTTCACTTAGTTACTTGGAAATCAATGAGACATACCAAGGTATGTATTATAACATTTAGATACATTTATCTAAAATATTATCGAAATAAATAAATGTTGATGAATATCAAAAATATAAAAGGTTCCAACAGTAATATTACTGTAAAATTAAATACCTAATACAATAACGAACAATACATTTAAGATTACACAAATATAATATAACAAATGTATAATGTTATGAAATTGTTCGTTGGAAATGTAAATCTTAACAACTAGAGTATAAGAGCTATAATAAAAAATCTAGCGTGTACAAGTATGAAAAATATCACTTTGTTAGCTGGAGACTTCTGTAGCAAGAAGAATTGTTAACTTGTAGTATAAAATTGAATGTTGCGTTTATGTACTTATATGCTATTTGGTATAATATTGCATTGTTTTTTTGCATATAAAATACAAATATGTGAAATAGTTTACATAAAGTACAGTCACTTGTAGAAATGTGTAGAACACTTGTAGAACTTTTTCAATTTTTTTCAAAATATTTTTAAAACTAAATCATAAAAATACTATATATTAATGTGTGCTATGAACTGTTGATAAAAATAAACACAAAATTAAAATTATTGATATTAATAAATTGCTTTTATTTTAAAATGAGAGATCAGTGTAATGTGATGTGTCATAACTCAATTTCATGCAATTTTCTGAAATATACTAATGTTATTACAATTGATCTACGTTTTTTAAAATGCCCATATTGATTAAATCTCTAAGGTTCGGGGATCTTATGAATTGCTACTATTCATTAGCAAAACACTTCTTAAAAGCAAATAAAAATTCGTAAACAGAACTATTGAAAATTGGCTCGTCGGCGATTAGCAATTAAAATATTATGAAATACGATTATATGAACATCATATAATTGTGTTTTAATATAATTTTAGATTGTGAAACACCTCTTTTTTTTTCAATTTACTACACAGACGATTTACTGAGTTGAATTGATTTAGAGTACAAACAATAAATGATTCAATTCATTCACTAAACTGACAGTTGATTGACAATTAAAAGTATATTTATAAAAATATTTTACCTAAACTAATAAAATTAATGGTTACACAAAAATAAAACTGCACCATCTAATACTTTTTATAGGAATCTTATCGAACAATAATCACAATAAAAAATTTACGTCATAATTTTAATAGAAAGTCTTGCAAAATTTAGAGAAAATATAATTTAAAAAAAATATTAGTTTTTCTTAATACATGCGTTATTAATAATAAAAATAAATCAAATAATTTATTTGTATATACGTAAAATACATGTCAATCTATGAGTTATATATCCTTTTCAATATCATACCTCATTAGAATATAAAAATTAAAACAAAGACCTATTTAGTCTGTACATTTTTGTAATCTGTAAATTGAATATATCACCTGTTTATATGGCCCCGATATAAGACAAATAAATAAATGCATTGCCAAAGCAATGTTCATAAAATGTATAAAGGATCCAAAATAAAAATCAAGACTAACGCGAATACTTTTTTAACTTCAATACATCGATTTACTATGACCTACATTCTCTTGTTGCCTTAAAATATGTTGACTTCTTTAAGCATACTTACTGTTTCCAAAATCGGCTGCATCGCTTTAACAGAAATTTTCAGCTAGTTTTTACAAGTTCCATTCATTTTATTAGAATCTTTACAACGAATCGATTACTTAGTTTCGCGAAAGGTTAAAAAGTTCATTTCTCAAAATACTCGATTTTGAAAATGATATATTGTAAAATTGGAGAAAGGAATAGGTAAAGTATGAATTGTTGTTTCAATTCGTACATCTGTCACACTACATACAAGATTTCTCATTGACCAATATGAAATAGTACACTTTGTAGCTCAATTCATAAATTTCAAGAATCTCAATGGAATAAGCAAAAAATTATATTCCATTCAAGAAATGATATACCTATAAGTATAATAATTATATTAAAATAAAGAAATATTCTAATAAATTGTATTTTGTTGTTTACTTCGCCTTTGCTATCGACGTGTGCAATTGCCTTGATAGTAATTCAATGCTGTTAAAGTTTCTGCAGGCGTTACTTTTTTTTCACTTTGAGGACGTATTACGGTTTACATTATGTTATTACATCGATAAAATTTCAGTAATCCTGCTTTACTTAAGCAGATTATATCATCAAAACATCGGTGACTAAAAATTAATTAGTAAATGACTCATACGTTCCAAGTTCCATGTTTACGTTGTCATGTATCTTATAGTAATCCCTTTAGGTTTTAACCACAATAAACATATTGTATACGGGTATAACGACGATAAGCGACAGAAGACCACACTGCTACTTTCATAATTAATGTACAAACTGTAATTATTTTTCATTCCTTCATTCCATTCCATATCCTCATCCTAAGGGGGGTGTTATTTTTTTCTTCAAATTTAAATGGGACTAAATGTGAAGCATATAGTTTATACCCTTAATAATAAAAATAGAATTTAAAATTGAATAGGTTCATGAATTATGGAGTTTTAAGATGATAATAAAAAAACACATCTGCGAGAGCCTCCTCCTTTTTTGAAGTTGGTTAAGTAAAAAATAAAGTTAAATAATAATATATTATAAATTAAATACTCCATTTGAGTTTGGCTCAGTAAGAATTCACTGTCCTACATATATTTTTTTATTAGTAATTACTTTAAGTAGTTTTACAAAACAAACTATTTTTATCCTTAGCTTCGTAAGTTACCACTTATTAGAGATAGTATACAAATTAATGAGTTATTAAAATTTCCCTTTATATATTAAAACTATAGTTTTAGGTACTAAGAATACCATCAGCGGGTATCACTGTGTCTACTAAAAGGCTATGTGCTATCAATAATATTAAATGTGTTAGATGCTTGTAAATAATATTGTTAGTAAATGTCTCTGTCGCTTATCATCTTAACTGTATACGTTACATTAACAATGCGATTCACCGTTTTCGTGATGACCAGAGTCGAAAGAGCTGTGATGTCCGAGACCCTTCGGCGGGATCGGAGGCGGTCTCTCACCTTCGTCTACCCGAAGCGGTTCCGACATCATAGAGATTATTTCCTCGTACCGTAGTGAGTCTACTGTTAAATCGAGATCTAGAAAATAAACGTAAAAATATTTTATAAATAAATTTGAAGGAAGTCATCGTGACAACACAGAATAATATAATGGGTTGGACTAATCGTACTTGAAATATAAATTGAATGAAAAAAAAAAAAAGAAAAATCATCCCATTAGACATAGTCGTATCCGTGATTTTTTAAATTTGATGTTATGAACATTTTCCTGATAGAAAATCTCTTTGTGTAGATTTTGTTTATACCTTGAGATAACTATGTGATGTTTATGCTATTAGTATATTGCTGCTTGCTATTAGCTATACGAGTAACTTCACCTACGTTGATATATTTTTATTGTGTACTTGTATTTAAAATTATTGTATCACTTTTAAGTTTACAGAAGTAAAGTTTTACTAAGACTAGGAGAATACCGATTCAACATTAGGTCACAATACGATATAATCACATTACAGTCAATGTTGGATGTTTTATGACATTTGTGAGACTGAATTTTAATCGAATCGATTTTTTTTCTAAGATTTATTCTAAGCAACTTAAGTTTGCACACAGAAATATTTGATAGCTTTTTGTATTATTACCAATTGTCATAAACATTGTAACATTGAAACCGTTGACCCTCTTGCAAATCTCTAGGTGATGAGAAGTTCAAATGGTTTACCTTTATGCAAGTGCCTGTGATCATCAGCGTTAGTGTACGCGTGTGTGTCAACACTGACGCCGGAGTCTCTCGCGTCATCTGCCATGTCCACCGAACGAGTACCGCGCCGAGGGATCGCTGGAGGTGCGTCTACCCACGATCGTTTCTCACCTGATATTCACACTCATTATTATTGACTGTTCAGAGTAAAATTATTCAAATTATTAATTATTAAAGCTTTATTTTCGAAACAATCTGAACTCGTTGCGTATGGTTTGTAGTAGTGAAGTTAATTTTGCGTTTTTGACATATTACAAAACTTAGACTAAGAACAGGAGCTCCGGGTCCTCTCCAGAGTAGAGCGCCGGGTTTCAGCCGTCGGATTGTTTTTTAGTGGAAAAAGGGAGCCAGAGATCTTAAGGGAATTTCTACCCTGTCACCAAAAAAAAAAAAACAACTAAGAACAAGAGTAGGTAGATGAATGTTTCCCTTATATTTGTACATATATTTCCCTTTTATATATATTTTTACTTATACTTTGCCCTTATTCCATGTATACTCTCTATACCTTTTCCCACTCATGTTTTCTCTCTATCCCATGGTTGTTTGTAAGAGATTGTCTTTGGCCGATAAGGCCGCGACTTGTACTATAGTTAAACCGCCGTAAGCTTGGCCCTCCTGATGGTTTGGGGGACGCGGGGCGGGGGTGCAATCAACCAATTAGCTAGTGCGTCGCTGTCCGCCGGCAGTGACTGACGTGAAAGCATGGCTGTACGTGTTATTTTTCTTAAGACTGCTACACACGGTATTATTTTGCAACATGGATAATCAGCCGACTCTGCGTCACAAAAAGATTTAAAAACTTGAAGTTCGGCTTACAGAGGTTCTACTGTTAAAGTTCTAATAAAGAATATTTATAATTTTACTTAATTTTTAAATTGGATCTGAATATAATTTACATGATGAAGATAAGGTGATTTTATTAAAATTATTTTACACTATTAAATTTTACAATTAATCATAAAAACTTACAGTACACTGACGTTATAATACATGGAAATAAATTCGATTTTTATTACATTGTGTGTAGATTAAATCTCAAACAAATAAATCTGAAGATATCGAGTTAGTACATCGTGTCATGTATAGCCGAGCGCATCACCCGCCCCGCGTCCCGCAAACCATCTGGAGGGCCAAGCTTACGGCGGTTTAACTATAATTACTAGTAATAACTTATTTTTTGTAGTTGCCTGGTGTATATATACCGGTATATATACCACTTTATGATTCATTATTATTATTATGTGATTTAAGCACGGACTTATGTCCATCTGACGTAATTAGAGGGTTGAAGTTTGAATTAATATTAACGTTAATTATCAATTGAAATCTACTACGATCTCAGAATTCCTTTATTAAACTAAACTAGGTAATTAAGTGCAAATTAGTTTCAATGTAACAATAGCATCACTTTATATTCAAATTGTATTTAATTAAAACAATGAGAGGAAGCACGAGAAGCCATACACGTCTCAAACTTCCGTCTTCCTGTTACATTCTTCCGTCCCTTTTCACAAAATCAATCCCCCAGATTGTAGAAGCGAGAGGTAAGATGGTTTTGGACTATTGTCGAAATGGTAACACACGATTATTTCTCCTGACTCCGACCCTGAACTCGAAATATAACGATGCCAATGATTACCTACGTGTACCATGCTAATCTAACATAAAACAAAGTGTCACTCACTTTTATTCGAGCCGAGAGATTTGTACCTTGAGAACAATAATTATTAATCAATAATTTAGAGGCTTCAACTTAGAGCCGCTTACCGGAGACGCGGGGAGGCAAGGGCGGGGCGTCCCCGGGCTCGCTCCACGAAGCGCGACTGTGGCGACACGAGTCTATGAACTCACCGTCCATGGAGTCTCTGTAAAAAAATGACTTATGTATTGAAGAATTATAACTTTTTTTACTTTAAATCACTCTTATAATAAAATTGCCTTGGTAATGAAAAGGTCGATTTCGTGTTAATGAAATATCAATTAAATTTTTCATTGACAGTCTTCTTACCACAATACCGATTAGTAAAAAAAAATAGCGCCGGCAAATAGGCCATCCTTCAGAAACATTGAATTCTTTTTCCAATTAACCCATGATGTTTATAAATTCCGAATGCTATTAAAAAATAGTCTTCAACTTACCGATATTTGTCTAATGGCGGTCTCGTGGGACTTCTGGGGTCTCCAGACTTGGGTCTTGTCGGTAAAGGTGGCGCCGACTTGATCATAGAAATATCATCAGGACAATCGCGATTATCGACAGGTAAGCTACACGACATTATACTTTGCTGATCAGTCGGGTCTTCAATTGATTGCTGTAAGTTTTAAACAGATGGCGTTTGTTGAGTTTACTAGGGAACCACATAGATGACGCGTATATATTTTTTTCATTCGTACTTACCGGTTTATCGTAAAGGTGTCCTTCGTCGTAGTAGTTATCGTTTTGTTGAATACTTTGTGATCGTTTGTCTAGAGCGGGGACAGGAGGTAATGGTGTGCTGCAAACGCAAATTAAAGTTTTTAGTAGTGTATATAAGAGGTTCCGTACAGTGATATAGATAGTCTCTTATTATGTAAATTCTAATAATTTAATTAATTGCCACCGCGAGAAGTGTTGTGTAAACAATTCATAGTGGGTGGTTCTCAGAGCAAAATGTCCCCGATTGAAAACGTCCAACACGTAAAATTGTATGGTAAATCTTAATTGAAAAGATCTTTAATAAGCAAAATGTCCTTGTTACATGACGACCGCAAATTAAATGGTCTTGGAAGCAAACCGTCAGTTATTTAAAAATACTTTATATAATACCTACTGTTGGCCCCCAAAATTAAAAAAAAAAATATCACAATATTTGTTTATATTATATATAGTTATACGGGATTCGGGAGTAGAGTCAAAGAAAGCCAACGCACTTATGACTCTTGGGTTGCAGGTGTCTATGGGTGGCGGTAGTCACTTACCATCAAGCGACCCGTCTGCCGGTTTGCCCCCTATACCTAAGCAATATAGGAGTGCCTTATTAGACACCTTCAAATACACTGCTCACTGTCGTACCGTCACTATAGGATTATATAAAAACTTACTTCACGATGCTCTCAGATAGTTGACGGCGAGCTCGAGCTAGACCCGGTCCTAGGTTTTGACGAAGTTGGTTGAATCTTTCGACGAGCCGCCTGTGAAAAGGATATCACATGTCATATGCACGTAACTTCTGAATGAAATTTGAAAAGGCAAAATGGAATCAGAAAGGACAGGAACGTAGAAGTGCGGCCGGTACCTGTGCAGCGGCTTGACGTCGTCGGGCGCGAGGCGCGCGTGCAGCGCCAGCCCCGCGTCCACGACGGCGCACTGCGAGGCCACGAGGCGCCGCAGCCGCGCCGCCGCCGCCGCCTCGCGAGGCGCCGCGCTCCGCGCGAACTCCGGCGTCAGGAAGGCTTGCTCGTACTTCGTGATCCCGCCCTGCACGTTCGCGTCGATCGTCCCCTGTAGCCTCATGGAGAACGGGTTGATGTTCAGGGTCGGGTCGGCCGTGTACTGGGAGATCAGACTGCGCAGTTCCCGTTCCGTCGATTCCATCGTTTCACAGGCGTACTGAAAAAGATTGTTTTTTTTATATACAGAAAATACAACAAATAATCCTAACCTTAAATTTTAAATACTAAACGCAAGAAAAGAAAGATCGGTTGACGATTTACTATAAATTAGCAGCTGGTCTACCGTTTCACTGCTAACTGAAAGCCCGTGCTAAAAACTTAATACATGTATTGGAAAAAAAAGCAGACAATAAATAAAATTTAACCGTTTTAACCCGAATAGTAGTGGCGTTCAAAGGGAGAGGCCTATTTCCAGCAGTGAACTGCGATAGGCTGATGATGATTATGATGAACCCGAATAAATGCATTTACATTACTATAAATTTATTTCGATTGTTTGCAATAAATGTAACAATATTAGATTTCACTAATTTAGCATACTTACTTCTACGGGTGGTATTTCTTCTACGGAACGAGACACAACCTCAGACCATCGCAGTATCCCAGGTAAAGTGGTTTCTGTGACTAACGTAGTTCTTTCGATCCATAAACTCTGCAAACAAAATATTTAAAATTACCATTTAAAGTCCGCTAAACTTAACCAAATGTATGTATGAAGTATAAATCCATCTGTCCTCTCCTTGGCCCTCCTGATGGTTTACGGGACGCGGGGCGGGTGATGCGCTCGGCTATACATGACACGATGTACTAACTCGATATCTTCAGATTTATTTGTTTGAGATTTAATCTACACACGATGTAATAAAAAAGCCGTGTGGTGTCGTGGGACACCCGATAGGAACGAAGTTGTGACGATCGAGTAAAACTGATTTGACACGATTTTAATTACAACGCCATCTATGAAAGCGGCTATTACCTACATATTAAAAACAATTTATACATTGGTAAAATCTCCTTGCGAAATGATTTCCTATCTATTCGATAAATGGCGCTGAATGTCTGACAAGATGACACGAAAATAAAGAGCAACAAGCCAACATCACGTGGTATTCCCAGGCGGTCACCCATCCAAGTACTAACCACGCCCGATGTTGCTTAACTTCGGTGATCGGACGAGAACCGGTGTATTCAACATGGTATGGACGTTGGCGAACGTTAAAGCAAATTTAATGTATGGTATCCACAGTTAGACGTCAATTTATATTAATAAAAAAGTGTCGTTCCAAATTTTCGTACGAATTTTTTCCGTCTAGCCCCCTTTCACAACGCGCGATAAGGAACTTCGTTCCAAAATCTAATTTATTTCCATGTATTATAATGTCAGTGTATTGTAAGTTTTTATGATTAATTGTAAAATTTAATACTGTAAAATAATTTTAATAAAATCACCTTATCTTCATCATGTAAATTATATTCAGATACAATTTAAAAATTAAGTAAAATAATAAATATTCTTTATTAGAACTTTAACAGTAGAACCTCTGTAAGCCGAACTTCAAGTTTTTAAATCTTTTTGTGACGCAGAGTCGGTAGATTATCCATGTTGCAAAATAATACCGTGAGTAGCAGTCTTAAAAAAAATAACACGTACAGCCATGCTTTTACGTCAGTCACTGACGGCGGACAGCGACGCACTAGCTAATTGGTTGAATGCACCCCCGCCCCGCGTCCGCCAAACCATCAGGAGGGCCAAGCTTACGGCGGTTTAACTATAGTATCACAGACAGCAGAGTCTAGAGATACTAGGTAGTAAAGTAAAAGAGTTTCTAAATTGCTCCTTTTCATTAAGTATACCTGCAATGCAAAAACTCTTATATTCATTATGGCTCGATAGCATGTAACTTAAAAAACTGTCTTTCTCCTTTAGTTAACGCCAGGTAGAATAAGAGTTGAATCCCTACACAAGATTTCAAGCACGAGTGTGTGGCATGATAATGCGCAAATAACACGAATAGTCAAACTTACCAACAATCAAACTGTAAGCTTGTTAACCGACTTATTTGTTCAAAAAGTTTACTACTTAAAATAACTTGAGTTTTATTTTACCTTGAATTCATTATCTTTATCGATAGGTGGTTTATGTAAGGGTCGGTCGCACAAAAAGGTATCTACGTCATTGCACGCGTAGAAACGTTTCACTTGTTCTGGAGTACCCGACGGCCAAGAGCGCCGAGACGGTACTGGTTTTACATTGCAGATTTGTATGTCTGGAAAACAAAAATATTACTTTGATATTGAAGAGGTTTCTATGTAACTTGCAGTACAGAAAAAATAATATTAACACGATGACTTTTAATATTAAAGTTCTGTTCTTACTTGAAAGATTTATAGGATAATCTCTGTGAATTAAATGTTAACTTTTCATTCGCCTGTTTTCAGAACCAAAACTACTATTAATGCAATGTACCCTGCAGGACCCAAGTAATTATTATATCAGTACTTACACTGTCCGTCGTTAGCAATAATCGAATCGTCGGGCGGTGTATTCCGCATAAGTATGTGCGCTGCAACATATTCCGCCTGAAGTCTTTGTGTAAACGCACCGATCCGCTCGTAGTCGTGACCACGATACACAAATTGTTTGTTCTGTAAATCACTACAAGTTTAGTACGGATAGCTTTTAAGCGGTACGATATTGCGCTAAGGACCAATGTTGACGTGTACTAGACTACGAAAATAGTCAATGAGTTTTTAGACTATAAATAAACGTGTAATATTTTTCAGACAGTAAAAGTATTATAATATTTTAACTCCGCAAACTTCACTCCGTCTACAACAGCTATGTTCATATCGTAGTTTTTCGTACGCTAGCGACCTCTATTTTCCTCCTTGCCTCTATCCACCAAAGTACACGGGAAACAAACATATTACTTTAAGAACCTTTTTTTTTTTTTTTTTTAAAAGACAACTCCCGCATACTTTAAGAACCTCTATTCTATATATCCCTAGTCATATATCTCATCTAGTAGGAATGCTTGGAGTTTTTTCCAATTATCACCACCGGTAGGGATATATGGAATGATAGTAAAAGAACCAGTTCTAAACTATATTGGTTCCCCTAATAAATTCAAGAACAGATAAGAAGGCTTCTTACTCTAACAAATAATGGACACCCTTTTCCGTAGAAGCCGACCCTGAAGTATTCAGGTTCTGGCCTGAGCTGCTCCATGACAGAATCCAAGAACGTGGCGTGTGTTCGCAGGCAGTGAGATAGACGCGGATAGTCACACAGTTTTACTTCGTATAAGGTAGCTAGCTCGCGAAGTAGCGGCAGTCCTTTCTCCCAACACTGAAAATAAGAAGTCAAGGAAATATTTTTGGGATACTGATATTAAATTGTTACTATTATGGAAAATCACTATAGTCTATTGATTATAGAATGGACTATAGTAGTTAGGTAAATGTATAAATAATTATTGCGTTCTTAGTTAATTTTTATGAATAGATATAGATTCACAAGTAATAGAATTATCCTTATTTACGTAGCAGCTATTTGTGGCGACTTACAAATAGTGAGGGCGAATAAAAATAAAATGGGCTTTACCTTTCCTCGGTCAAAATACTGCAACACTTGGTTGTATATAGCCTCTTTCCGTTTCCATTCTGGCGTCTCTGGGTGTTCTGGGTCCACGCCCACCAGATCACTCTCCCAACATAACGTTTCTGAGTACAGCTGTAATGTAACAAATTCATTTAAATATTAAATTTTGGAAATTAACTCGGTTTATTTAACATTTTAAAACAAACTGTAATTAGATGGTAATCTGTATATTTTTAAAAGTACATTTGGGAAAATCTTACTTGTTAACGTTTCAGTCAGGTAATGTACCAAAAGCCATTAGTAGTAAAGGAGTAAAGTTATATTTATATTTGGTCCAACCCCTAGGTTACAAACCCCTGAGTTAGATTAAATTAATCTCACTCACTAGGTAAAATCAATGAAAGAACTGCTTGACACACGGTTTTCTGCGAAGCTGTAGTGTCACTCAAGTCGAGCCCGGCCCATATGTGACGAAGTATTACTCTCTCACGTTATAATTAAAAATAGGTCATAGGAGGTTAGGTCATAGGAAGATAGGTAGTAAAAGGTGGAAAACACTAACAAGCAATTAGAGGGCGTCTTACCAAAAGTGTACAACCAGCTTCCACAAAGTTATCGGACGCAATATGCAAATCATGTAATTTGTACACATAACGTAAATACATCTCTTTACGATCGATCTCGTTTTTGTAGAAGTTCTGAAACAGAACAAGAATAGTAGTGTTAGCTGATGTGTACTATCGTCAAAATCGACTATGATAACAAACATCTCATAATTATAACTAGTTATTTATTGTATCATAAAAATCTTTAGATTGCTTACATTTATCATAAGCAGAAATAGTTAATATTCAAACATATACACTTCTTTTTAAAGTTTAAATTCGTCTTTTCTCAACAAGCTTATATTTAAATTGTAGTTCTTACACGGTCATTTGAAACCTTACTATACAGTGCGATACGATGTAAATATGATAGCTACTAACTCTTACATACGAGAGATTATTCATATGTCACGGACTTACGAGTTATTGAACGTTATTAAATAAAGAAAATTAGTTCAAAAAATTTCATATTGCTTAACTGTTGATTTTTTTTATTGCTTTATAACTATTTCAAGACATGTGAATACTGACTAGTAAATTGACAGTAGCCGCCATCCTCTTATCTCTATGTTCAGCTCCCTGCATCACAGCTCTGTAGTCTAACAGCCTCTCTAGCAGCCGAGTCACGCAGGCCACGAAGGCTGCGCCCGCTTCTCGCCATCCTTCCGTTGAGACACGTTCCATCAACCTACATCAAATATTTCAAAGATATCATTACTATATTAAATACGGTTTTGGACAAAAAAAATTAAGTGTTTTTTTTAAGGCAAATTTATAACTTCATAATATAACTTATATTATGAATTCATAAATTTCTACGGTCTTATGATATATTTCTAAAGTTCCTTTTGACAATGCATAATAATAACAACGTAACAAATTTTTCAGTTATATGTAATTATTTGAGTTCATAAAAAGAATGTTAATAATGTATTTTAACTATAGGAAACTATGAAAGAAACAGCGTATGTTACAAAGTATAACAACTCGAAAACACTTACATACAAATAGTTGAAATAACATCATTAAGGAAATTATACAATTGAGTACAAAATACCATTTTGAGTTTATTTACGACAGGCTAGTGACACCTTACAGTAAACTGGTCTGTATCAATTACTTGCGTTAAAATAAACACCGTAATTAAATAAACAAACTGGTTTAACTTGGTCGTAGTCGATGCTAATGACTAATTACATAATAGTAATTAACGTTTTTAGTATTCAATGTTGAGTGATGGTTACGAATACGTAGAAGTTTTGTTACTTACACTGAGCTCAAATGTTCCCTGAGTAGCATAAACAATGGAATTCATATTAGTCCAAATATGTGTTAGTGATAAATTATAATGTAGTGGAGAAAATAATATTACAAGTTTATAAATGGTTATAATTAAATTATCTAATCCATAATTTGTGTTGTTTACAAAGGAATTCTTAATGAAGATAAGCGAATTAAAGGTAATTGCTGCGTGTCTAAGAAGTCCGACAAGTTAATCCTTTTCGTCAATTTTACATTGAAATTTTAACTTGTGAAAATATGTGCTGTAACTATGTGCAGTTAGCTATTACATTCGATTCTACAAGAGTATCGTCCGAGACATTAGGAGGTTTTGGGCCATGTCCGCCAGGCACAGGAACGAGCCAAGTACCGCCAACGACTTAGTCGCCGAAGGTCGTATAAACGCAGGCCTTTGGGTGACAGGTGAAGCCATCTGTAGCCCTGCACGCTGCAGTGCGCGCGCGCTCTTTAGGAGGCATAAACGGAACTTCGGGATTCTCACATAGGAGGGGGTCATCTACAATCCGTAGATAACCAGAGGTACGTCAGGGATACCAGGGATTTTTTTTAATTGGCTAATGGTAGCCAAGACGGCGTGCGGTTTTTAGTCGGTTCGAGTCCGATATAATCACCACGGTGGTATTCGAGGGCATTTTCGCTAAACAAAAAACAAGTAAAAAGGCACTTCGGCCATGTAACGCCATTACAGAATGAAATTTGTTACAGATTTGGTCATGAAATTCTATTGAAACTTTAATGTTAGAACGCTGCGGTGGTTTTTGTGCCGTTGCAATTTTTAGGCGCCCAGCAAAATACTCGTGGCGCTCGCCAGGCTTTAGTCGTCCTCGGAGTTTTCCTGTAACGATATACTTACACAGTATCGAAGAGTCGCCTGTAGTGGTCGTCGGCCTTGTTGTCGGCCACGAGCGAGTCGAGCTTGTCGACGAGCGCGGCCTCGGTGCGGCGCGCCTCGCCCGTGTGCGCGCGCTCGGCCGCCATGAGCGCCACCAGCGCGCCCAGCGCCGCGCGCCGCAGCTCGCTCACCAGCGTTATCTCCAGCAGCGCGCCCACCGCGCCCGGCACCAGGTGCAGCTGGGCCGGACCTGATTCAAATTCACTCAAACTCAAATCATCTCATTATTACTCACTCACTATTATCGCACTATATACACCCCCTCATTACTGTTTCATCTACATCAATATTCTATTTACGCTTTCCGTTCCAGATGAGATGAACTTCATTTTTTTTTATATCAGTATATTACAGATAACGTATATTTACCGAGCCTGTTCCAAGTAGCGAGTACGCGCATGCCCGCGGCGGCGCGCATGCGCGGTCGGTCGGGCCCGCGGCCCGCCCAACGCTCGGGCTGCAACGCGCTCGACGTCACCAGCGCCACGCCCAACTCCATGTAGCCCGACCACAGCTGAACAAAGAAACGATACGCGATTACACTATAACTATCTATTTTGAAAAATCACCAGTATCGTACAATGCTACATGCTAAATGTAACATCACAAACATTTCACAGCAAAGGTGAAACTATATATTGAAAATAAATACATTTTGTTTTATACTATCATTTCAAAGTGTAAAACGGGACCCTATTACTAAGAGTCCGCTACTCCGCTGTCCGTCCGTCCATCTCTATGTCAGTCCGTCTGTCACCAGGCTGTATCTCATGAACCGTGATAGTTAGACAGTTGAAATTTTTACAGATGATGTATTTCTTTTGCCGCCATAACAACAAATACTAAAAACAAAATAACATAAATATTTAAAAATAGTGGGCCCCATACAACAGACATGTTTTTTTGCCGTTTTTATAGATAATGGTACGCAACCCTTCGTACTCGCACTTGGCCGGTTTTTTTTTTATTGACTTGACTCTGTCCATAAAATTTATATTGAATGATTGTCTGTATAAAATGTGTTTTTCTAATAACTATAGACAAGAATGTACACAAGACACGTAAAATATACGCAAGCTCTTCATTAATCAAGATATTCTACTTCTCAGTTTCGTATGCCTCTAATATTATAATGAAAATAAAAAGATAAACAAATTCTGATTTCTTAGTAATGTCAATCAATGAAAGTTATTAATAAAAAAATGACTATTTTCTTAGAAGTTAGTAGATCCGTAGTAAGAAATATTATATATCGTCTACATCTTTAAGACGATACCAGATCCAGATTTGAAAAGATAACACATCCACACACCTGGGAATCAAATTGAGGTGGTTCATCACCCAAGAACCGCTCTAGTAACGGCTGGGCTAGATCTTGAAGGGCAGATAATAATACTTTACAACTTTGGACTCGTAACACCATCCAGTCAGTTGGAAATACCTGAAAAAATAAATTAAATAAATAATCATAAACCCATTTAAATTAAAACATGTTAAAAAAAACTCTCGCGATACATTACTTTAGATTTGTGAACACAGGAATCAATATAAAACATTACCACTGCAAACTATAATATGAGGTATTAGCGCGATCGAAATACTGTATTTTTCTAAGTATATAATAAGTAATATATTAAATTACTTGGCTATGGTCATATTTTAAAAACATATTTTTATGTCTTCTGTGTGTCGTATTTATCATTTTTATTGACATGTTTTTATATTCAGAAGAAATTAGAAAAGAATATTAGGAAAGAAAATATTTTGTGCTATCAATATAATTTGTTTTTATGTAAGAGTCTAGTTAGATGTTCATGCCACTCACGTCTTGTTCTATAAGGTGTCTAAAGACCAGGAAGGCTCGCATGAGGAAGTCTTTGAGCGGTTTGCGGTCGTGCGGATGAGGCGCTAAATGGCTCCATAATCGCTGGTAATGGACCGGCTTTAACAACTCCATCACGCCGAGTAGACCTGCCACCATGGAACCCTGTAAGAATAAAAAAATTGTCAAGTGCCGATGATCACAAACCCGTCAACTCGATAAGTCTTCTACAAAGAACAGTAGAAGAAATAAATAACTGTGTTTCAGCTGTTGAGCAGGGTTTTAGGATTTCGAAAATTGCCTTGAGTGATAGATTCTTGGGTTCCAGTTCATCCAATGATTTTTAAAAGGAATATATTTGCCACTGGTAAATACTATTGGTCAACTACTAGAAAAGAAAAGTCACGCCTTCTTGTTTTGTTTAAATAAGTTTTATATTGTGTTTGATCAGTACAGTTTTCTAAGTGGAAGCGGCTATCAGCAGTCAAATTCTTTCCTTAAATCTCGCAATGTAGGTAATGGAATTCTGGTATTACAACTCATACCTTTGTATGCACCGCAGATAAGCTTTTTTAGAGGGTGGTTATACTATCTGGTAAATATTACTTATGTAATTTCTTTATAACAGCTGATATAAAGCGGTGGGCACCGGTGTCACTCAACTCACAGACTACATTAAAAACAATACATAAAAAATACTAACAAGCACTGGCGAATTTCCTCCAATTAAATGGAGTACGGTTTCAACCAACACATCCAGAGTATTCAAACATAGGACGTCTACATCTGGATCCAATTCATCATCATCGATCGGACTGTCGTTGTCTTGTTTCTTCCACAGCAGAGTGACGAGTTCTCCTATTATTTCCGCGCATTGAGCGAGTTCGTCACGACGGGCGAGGTGTATACGAAGATGATGGCAGGTCGTCGTAAGGATTATGTTTCTTGCCTCTGAAAGCATACGGTTATTTCACTACATCACACTAATAGTTTATAGGCGAAAGTGTAAGTGTGTGGGTTTATAAGTTTTTTACTTCTTCATACTCAAGCAGCTGCATCGATTGTGATAAAATTTGGTTTAGAGGTAACCGATACCCTGGATTAACACATAGGCCCGAAAAAAGTAGTGCTTCTATGGGATGAGCAAGGAATGAAAATATTTTTAGAGATACAACGGAGGTTAAACACTGTGGGGTTTAGCTAGTCCTTAATAAATGCAATCGAGGGCCTACCTCTCTCGAGAGATTTACTAAAGATGTTTCCTTATCATAGGCTTAAGCATCTCAAGCATGAAATTATTCGGTACAGAAATGGGTTTCGGTTTCTGTTTAAGATATTTATATTTTGCCTGATAAGAATTAAAGTGTATTTTAGATGGATAATAAGGTATTTTAGCAGACTAGATTTCCGAATAGTTGTAGGGACCACGAGAGGACACCTAGCCCTGAATCGACAACTATTCATTATTAATGCGAGATGATGATGAAATCAGAAGAAACGGCCGCCCACGTAATTCTGGAATGCGAGAGAGAGGCCACACAGCTGGCAAGTACCATATCTAGAACAAAACCACTCCTGGAAGCCTGTGAATGTCCCAGGAGCTCGGCCGGCTCACGTAGTCAATCTCTACTAAACGCCTAAAGGACTAATCTCGAGTCTGAATGCAGAGATCGGAGCCAACAGCAATACCAATACCAAGATACAAATATTTTGCCTAAGAAGAAATAAAGTGTATCGGTTACCGGGGTCCTCGCCGAGCGGCCCCTGCAGGATGTCCCTGGCGGCGCGGAGCCGCGCGCGCGCGAGCGGCGGGTGGTGGTGCGGGTGGTGCGGCGCGTCCAGCACGTGCGCCGCCGCGCGCGCCGCCTCGCCCGCGCCCAGCGCCGCGCACACCTCGCGCGTCACCTCCGCCCACGACGACATCAGCGCCACCTGAAACCTCACGTGCTTTACTTTTTATTTTACACACGGCCATCTGATCCCAGACTAGGCGGAGCCCGTACTATGGTAACCAGACTGCTCATAGACAAACTTATTTTTTAAATACATACTTATTATTGATAAATTACACCCAGACACGAAACAGATGACCGTGATCATCACACAATATTTGTCCTGGGTGGGAATCGAACCCACGGCCCCGGAGGCCTTAGCGGTCAGGGCCCTAACCACTAGACTAACACCAAATACTTCTATAGTTCAATAGAAATTGCTGGCATCCTAAATAGATATCCTGTTTTACTTTATTAATAGAGTGCAGGATTTAGTTTTGTGAGTGCTACCGTGGGTGGATATTACCTTCTATTGGTGTCTGTACCTGTACTTATGATAAAATAAAACAAGCTTTAAAGCACCAACCGATAGAACAGAAACAATTTCCACATAATATATACTGTTACTTAATGTCTGTGAGGTATTTATTGACAACAGAGAAAACGTAATGAAACAACTTAAAGTAAAACAGTACTACCGAATCTTAATTATACGAATTGTGTTTACCCATTTTCCATCCCTCAGAATTATAAAAAAAAGAACCATTCAACTGCATTCAGTACTCTTTTCTCTTCAATCAAATCTTAAAGCACAGTCTACTTGTACCTAAATTTTTTATATTTTTTTAAGGATTAGTCATTTTATTGGTATTTTTAAAATCATCATATTTTTCTTAAATAAACTTTACCTTTAATAAAATTTTACTAAAATTAAATGGTACTAAACCCTTTCGTGAAGTTGTGTTGCATGGTATGACAAAAAACAACGAATAAATATTATTGTACCTGCGCCGGCGCCAAATGTTCTTTATAGGGATGTTGCGCAAATGTCTTCAAAGCATGTAACGCAGCCCTAACATCTCTTCTAAAACTGTCTTCGTACTGACCGCCAGTCGCTCTTGCAAACAGACTTCTTGATCGAACGGCGAGACGAAATACCGCGCCAAGGGAGCGGAGACATTTGCGGATTGCTTCTTGACCTTCGGCACTCGCAGCCCATTCAGCGCAGTGTTGGACAGAAGATAACAGACCCCTAAAGAAATATGAAACTGGTTACCACTTCCTGTTTTACATTTACAGGGAACAAAATATTGTAACCTGTTTTTTAATAGAAAAGAACTTCCGCACTAGGAATACATCCTATGTCGCAGGGGACTTTACCAAACATTCATGAAACGGACACAAAGAACACCCAGATTCAGAACAAAAATTTGTGGATCACACAAAGTGTTGTCCCATGTGGGGATCGAGCCCCCAACACTGAGTGCAGTAGGAAACGTTGAGGTGACCGCCTAAACCACTACGCCATCTGTGCCAGTCAAAACGTACTTCTTATGTTGTAAAGTTCTATGTTAGTGTAATGATATAGTATACCTATAATTTTGAACCAGTAGCACTGCCACATTTACATGTCCTATATTACAATAGGAAGACAAAGAGTTACAATAAAGTATTGTTAATACTTAGGTTACAAACTATTGGTGGTTTCAATATTTAATTCTGTTCTGAACTTGAATAACTAAGTACTTCATAATTGAATTACAGGTATACATCGCATGGTATGTAATATGAAGCTACATTTAAAACTATGAGCGACATAATATCCTTCAAGTGTCGTTCCCAATACTAAATACAAGAAATGACAGCAAGAGTCTTTATTAATACAAACAATATTATGAATGACGAAAGTTACTTACTTATAAACCAGTGCTGCTGAAAAATGTTCCTCAATATAAACATCGAGTACGGGCCGGAAATGTTGGAAGCGAGGCTCATCGAGTAAGCTGCATATCGATATGAGAACTAGAAACACTGTGCCGGAGTGTGGAGTGCTAGAAAAAATAGATTGTCGTATAATGTACATCATGTCATTCAAACAACGGCATACACAAAATCACAATAATTTGCTTTATCGATCAAGTAATTGTGTTTTATATAATTTTAGATAATTATATGATCAAAATTTCACTGATTGAGAAATTTACAAAATCCCGTTTTTTTTTTTAAACATAATTGCACCCTAATTTGCAGTTAAAATGTAAAATTTAATAAGTAACAAATATTTTATTTTATATTTAATGTAGTAATTTTGTCATTCCTTATTGATTAAAAAAAATACTTTTTGTTTTGTTTTATTTTGTCCTAAGTTACTAATTTCAAAACTTTTTTTACCTTTCACTATTGTAAATTAGTACCTACTTTAAGTTCGTATAATTATCTGAGAAAGTTGTGTTTGCCACTTGATATTGTACATTTCATAATATATCAAGACATAATATAGAAGAGAAGAAGTTAGTAGTTGTAAGAAAAAGTGTTGTAGGTGAATTAATAAATAAATAAATGTTTTTTTTGTAGTTTTGTTAGTAGCAATATTTCATATATGTAATTAATACACATACCTATTCCCATCTTCCGTCGAAAACAAAGCAAATAACGCATCCAGTACGTCTCTTAGGAACTTGATTAACTCTTCACAGCTGAGCCCGTCACCCAATCTCAAGACTCGTAATAACGTCTCTTGAACTTTCTGTGGGTGCGCGCGCCATTGTAATAAAGCTAGGAGGTCCTCTGTAACATGTATTTATGGAACTGTAAGTTATACGAATATACCATAGGAACAGGCTTAGTAAATATTGTACGTCAATATAAGAAATCATTTTAATCTATTTACACTAGAAATATTTATAAATCAAGGAAACAGTTTTGATTTTAAATAATAATGATTTAGATAATAATGAAAATATGTGTCACTAGCGTTATAATAAAATAATAGTAAACAAGACGTAACGTCATCCCTTCGTTACATTTTTTGTTTGATTTCTTTCAACGCGCTAATATTTCTCTCTGTATAAAAAAAAACTCATCAATTACGAAAAATATTTCTTTATTAATAAAAGTCGTAAGGAAAGGGGGCTTAGTGTGAGTTTATTTCACATCAGCTCGATCGTCACGGTTACCTGTCAACAATAAACTGACACTAGATTCTCATTATTAATAATAAATATAATTTTTCATATACATACCATTTTGAGTTAATTTAGTAGAACATAACAGTGTACTAATAGTACAATTCTCTTTGGAACTTCTTTGGAAAGTTGGCACGATGCCATTGGAAGCAAGAATGCGACCATCATTGACACAGGAAGGAAGTGACAAGTAACTCGCTGAAGTTAATCTGTAAACATAGCAACCGTTAATAAGACCCGTCGCATCATACAACATAGTTGACCACTCAGTTTTATGGTGATTTTTATGCATGAGATATTAGAAATTATATCATACTAGCTACACCCCGAGGTATTAAATACAACTTAGAATTCATTGCTCGTCCCACGGGAACACTTCACTTTTTCAGGATAAAAAGTAGCCTTCATGTTAATTCAGGGTGTCAGCTACCTCCATAAGAAATTTTATCAAAATTGGTCCAGTCGTTTGACCATCGAGAATAACAAACAGACACTCACAAACTTTCGCCTTTATTTTTTTAGTATGACGAGATCCAGACCAAGTGGTAGATTCTGATTCTTGTTTTATTCCTAGTATATTTGAAGTACAATTATGGCCACAATATAGCTGTGAATGTGTAAAGTAATTATTACTTACTTGGTAGGATCGTCACATTTGTAGACATATAGTTCATGAGCACCGTCTCGTAACGTTGCTCCACTCGCCTCCATTAGTCGTGCGAATGCGAACCCAAACAGCTTTCTTTCAGTTTTGTCTCTCGCTAAAATGAAATAAAAAATATTCAATTTCGGCAGACATTGTAAACAACCTATTAGGTATCTACTATCTATATTGAAATTAATATTTTCTAAACAACTGACAATGGTTTTTAATTCGATATTGATACGTGAAAACACAAATGGTAATTTATTCCACTCTTAAAAAAAGTGTGTGTGTTTTACACACACTTTTTTATGTATTAGTCAAACGAGCAGAACACAACCGCGGTCTCCCCACACAGGCTTAGGGAGAAGAGAGAGTAGGGTCTCCGATAATCTCACTCACTTGGTGCCAAGCAATGAAAGATTTTTTTTAGCGCCGGTTTCCTGTGGGGCCGGGGGCATATGTGCCTAAGCATGGCTGCAGGAGAGCCATTGATTGGTCTCCCACACTCTACTCTAAATAATATTATTATTATAAAGCATGCATTCGATTTAAAGTTACATAACCAACATGGTATAAACAATTATAATATTTTTTGGCGCTCCTGATGATGATGATGATGAATAAATTCCTTTCACCCTTAAAACTTACATAACATTGGATCGAACCCTACGATGTTTCTGAGCCTTTTTTTTCCGTGCGGAAATTCCCTCGGATACCACCTGTCGGTGGCATGTCGGACTCGAACCGACTAAAACCGCACGCCGTCTCGGGTACTAATAGCCAGGGAACCAGGTATACCCTAGAAAGGAAGTCCCTGGTGCCCCGACATACCTCGGGTCATCTACAGACGAGTAGACGACATTACCCTAAACTACCCCCCGTGTGGGAACCCCATGTTCCCTGTGCTCCCTGGAAGCGAGCGCGCTTCGCAACGCGCTCGCCGCCACCCCGGTCTGCTTCTGCTAGGATGACAGATGGCCTCACCTGTCACCCCCAGGCCTGCGCTTATGGAGGACGGAGGTCATTCTGCGACCTCCGGCGCCTGAGTCGCCTGCGGTACCAGGCCCGGGAGAGTCCTAAACCTCTCCCGGTCCCGCTCCACCGTCTCCTTCGCGAGCATAACTTGCTCGCAGAAGGAGACGGCAGAGTCCCACGCACTCTCGCTCCGCACGATAGCCGCAATCAGGCTATGGAGCGAGAGAACTCCCACTCCGAACGATGTTTCTGAGCCTCAATTCTGCTATTTTATGTTCACGTACAAGCCACTGTCATGCCATCAATACGCTATTAAGATGCCATTGACATCAGTCAAAATATCGGTATTCTACTAACATAAAACTCAATACACTGGAGATGTAGTGACAATTGCTCATCAATGATGATATCAACAACATTATCATATCTGGCAAATTTAATTTATCATTTCCTTACAAATTTAAAACGTACGGTTTATGTAACTATTACAAAAACATCGACGACATTTGTATCTGTGGCAGTTCAGTGACAAATCATCGGTTATTATGTCAGTCAGTCATCGGTCTTACATAGTTAGTAGAATACGAAAAGTGCCAAACTCTTCCGACGATGGTCTTTTGATACAATCATAAAATAGCCGACTTGAAGCCCTGGGTATTGCACTACATTGTGTAAATAATGTTTCGAGACTTACATGAGCAGTGTCTGAACTCGAGTCTGACGTGTGCGTTAGTGAAAGTTTCCAGAGGCACGGTAAGGCGTAGGTGTTCGTTCCAAGCGGGACTGTTGTTGTGGTACAGCACTAGCGACTCGTATGACGTGCATCCTGTACCACTCGCTCCCCAAACGCATTCCTATAAAACAGAGCTTTTTAATCTGCAGTAGTGATAAATACACTACACATCCAGTCCAGTTAAATAATTGACTCTTATATAAAATAAAAATAAGAGTCAATTATTAAAAAATATGTCATGTGAAAAATATATTCATCATCATCATCAGCCTATCGCAGTCCACTACCGGACATAGGCCTCTCCCATTGCACGCCACTTGATCGATTTTAGATTTTTGGAAAATATTATATTGATAGTTTCAAATTCTTTTGGATATGATTAATATGTTTATTAATATAATACTCTGAATTTCTGCAGTTTCGGTTCAGTTTGTTTATCAAATCCCTTTAATCTTTTATGCAGTCTGAAAATTGTTACATTCCCAAGAAGGGTTGGTGTCAAGCAGGTGGCTGGCCTGTTTCACTAAAGGATTCGAGGACCCCGATTAGGATTGAGTACAGGGCATGACAAATAATAATAATATTTTTCGGACATCTGACACAATGTGATGTGTGATGTTGAATGCCAGGATTGTTGTATTACATAATATTATGATGATATTTAAAAGCTCAAACTTATGGCCTGAGTCGGCAATATTCAGCATATTTAAATATCTGAACCATTGTATTTAGAGCCTGACACGAGGCTTGAACAACTTACATTTATAACCTGTCCCGTACTATCGTGTACAGTGACAGTAGCCAATACATTCTTCGCCGTACTCTTGCCGCCTCTCTCGAACTCAGCTTTCTCTAACGTCAGATAGAGGTCGTTGCGTACGTCCCCCGGCATTATAACATCTGGGAATCCTCTCTTTGCCGTAACTGTAGCACCGGACGCTACTGCTTCAGTTATACTCCCTGCGTTTGATAGAAGGCGCAGGGCGACTACAATACCTGTAATATAAATCGTATTGTAATTAGATTATTATTAAAAAAGTCTGCATACGACTCTCTGACAATAGGTAGTTATCAGATTCACTTATGCATATAATAATAATAACCTCACTCACACAGGGCCGTCTGATCCTAAACTAAGCGGAGGCCGTACTATGGTTACCAGAATACTGCAAAACATACTTATACATTTCTAAATAAATAGATATTATAGATAAATTACAAAATGATGAAATGATCGTACTTATCACACAATTATTTGTTCTGGCTGGGAATCGAACCCATGACCTACGGCTTAGAAGTCAGGGTCACTAACCACTATACCAACAGGCCAGTCACCACTTTCTTTATGGACCTTGGGACATTTCCGTTCAAATCAAAGTCCGTTCAATCCATTATCTACTGTTATTATTAACTATTCCGCTTTAATTTTGTTTTGATGTCATCATCACAATGATATCATCATAAGTTTTATTTTTATCTCCACAATTTATTTTCATATTTAAGCTTTGACTCTTAATCCCGATCCAAATAATACAGTGACAATGAGCACATCTTCATTACATGTATGTAGGTTTGCAATAATAGTAACCTCTAAATCTTCCAATTACACCCTGTGCGAGAGAGTGTAACTGGAAGATTTATAAATAGAAGATAGCGTGAATTAGATGAAAAATGTCTGTCGTTCTTTTTAAATATGAAGACTTATTTCGTGAAAGCTGCCTATTTATCACCGCCCCATTGCTACATGTATACAAACCCATTCGGTCATCGACAATCAAAGAACTCGTACCTGCGTAACGTTTATGTTAATGTAAATGAGGATTAATGACACGTAGATAATTGCATGGTTCAAGGATAACATTAGGGTGGTCTAGCACCGTGACATTGACCCTCACGATTAATGAAATTGCCACAGCTTGTAGTTGAGTGAGTTCGTGACGTATTTTTACCATTAATGTGGCAAACAAGCATGATTACTATTTAATCTGGTTTCACGTTAGTTAAGTAGTGACCGAGTTTACATAGTTTATTATCATGCTGAAAACTGGTGTTTTTGTTTTTAAATATTCAAGAATGGTAAATGGAAATAATTTTTATTTAAGATTGGGAAAACATGAAAAAATTCTAGTGGTGATCGCATAATTACCATGAAAGTTACAGCATCGATCGTGGCGCTTGCAACAGTTTCGAAATATCGGTAACTAATTCCCGAAAATAAATATAGTAAATATCCAGTTTATAATAACTTATCAAGTAATAAGAACAGAAGGAATTCTAGATACAACCCCTAAACCAATCCGCGTGGTGACAACATCATCACATCAATAACCTTTAATAGTCCACTGCTGGACATAAGCCTCTCCTTAGAAAGGAGGCTTTGGCCTACTATACCACGCTGGCCAGACGGGTTGGTATAGGGTTTGTATCAAGTTTTCCTTCTCTCTGCAATGCTGTTGTCCTGCGTAGTTTTCTCCCTTAGTCGTCTCTTACGACACCCACGGGATGAATAGGGGTGGTGACACTCTGTATTCTTAATCCGTCACCACACGGACCGCGTGGTATAGTAGGACATAAGTAGACATGGGACAAAATCACAGTAAACGTACGTAGGTTAGGGTTACCACTTACTCAAGCGTTCTTGCCAATAAGCTGTTTTCAGACGATGCATAAAGACCCTATTTCGCCTATTTAACAGTGAGTCTAGTAATTATTTTATTATATATAAATATTCATCATTCCCTACATAATAATAAAAAAAATACTAGATTTACTGTTAAATAGCGTCTAACCTACCTACCTTACAACTCTAACGTATGTACTCAAAAATTGAATGATAAATCACAGTTCACTGTGATTTTGTCCCATGTCTAGCCAAAACCTTCTTTCTAAGCAGAGGTCTATGGCAGTGGACTATCAAAGTCTGGTGATGATGATAAAGTATTAATAATATGATTTTAACCTTACCGTAATTAGGTTGTCCTGGTAATATATTGCACTTATTCGTCTGCTTTCTTATTAGCATGTCATGTAACTGGTGAAAGTCTTTTTCTTCACATTGGTACACCTAAAACAATAATCAATCAATCAATCAATTATCAAAGAAAGTCAACTGCATATTTGATAATACGAAAATACGATTAAAAAAAGGGGTGTGGGAAAGGAAGGAAAAAAATACTGCAGGACCTATTCTCATACCTACCAAATATACAAAAAAGTCACTGAAAGGTCCAGCCGTTTAGGAGGAGTGCGACCACAAACACCGTGTTATAAATTAGATTAACCGGTCCTAGTGATACACCAAAGTAATCAAAATTTATGTTTTATTCAATTGTTTTATTAATAACACCCTTTTTTTGTAATAAAAATCTACATGGCAGATGAGTAGTACGAATACTATTTGTGCAAAAAAATCATAAAAAAAGTTGTGCGTATTTTGATAGCTTAGTCAGACTTCTGTTTACAAAAAACTCTTATGACGGCATATTCCTGTTTTTTGAACATACGACTTTATCTTTAGCCGCCGAGGTGATAACAGGTCACCATCGCTTTACGGCATTTGGGTTGCATAATTATCTTTAAAGCAATAACTAAATCTGTCAGACATACACAACCTTTACAACCACATCGCCATGTTCTAGAACTCATAGTTTTGACGACATTCCTGAACGGACATTCATTATGACACGTTCATTCACATGCATATCATATTTTTTAAGTAACTACTCATTATGACATACTTTAGACTGTCTATTTTCTTTACATAATCTTTAATTTCAAGTCATAAACAATATAAATCGTTTTCTTCGTTAGCTTTTAACTTTTAAACTGAATAAAAAACTAAGCTCTGTTACAGTGCAGGTTTGTTCGTGATCATTATCTTCGCATGTATGTTTCAGCTTACTTATTTGTCACTTTGACCAATAATTATATAATTTAGTGGTCATAATAGCAAGACAAAGTTGACTAGACACTAATGAAGTAGTAAGTTTTAATTACATATCCTAATTTTACTTGTGATCTATACATATATATACATACAATTATATACTAGCCCTGACTGGTTGATTCATCAAAGCAGAGCTTAAACCGCTGGGGCTACAAGCTTCAAATGTTGGTAGCAGATAGTTTTTATGTTGTAACTCAGATAGGATTTTGGTAAATTTTACACTTAAGCCGGACTGACTACACGGATGGCGTAGTGGTTTAAGCGTTCGCCACGCCGATTTTAGGGCGCTGAGTGTTGTGGGTCCGATCCCCACATAGGACACCACTTTGTGTGATCACAGATTGTTGTTCTGAGTCTTGGTGTTCTTTGTGTCCGTTTCATTTATGTTTATAAAGTTCCCCGCGACTTTTATATCCGCAAGGATTTATATTCCTAATCCAGGGGTTGTCTTTAAAAAAAAACACGCGAACGAAGCCACAGGCAATAGATAGTTATTAATATTGCTGGTCTGGGCTCTATCAATCACTGGGTTCATTATTTAATACAATGATTTATCGAATTGAAACTATGTCACCGTAATGAGATGAATAACTAGAGTCGAGACAGCCTCGTTTCCAAATTAAGGCATTAACCTTTGATAGATCAATTGACATATGGCATTTTTACGTTTTATACTGGTGCTACGACAACCCTTCTGAGACTAGTTGATTCTACCATTTTTAACAGACCTGTCTAACATACTAATCTCCCTTGGAAAAAACCACCCGCTATTATTTATTTATTTATTTAATCCGACGCAGTATATCTGGCAGATGTAAAACATAAAAATTTGTTTGTAGACATAAATAGTATTAAAGAATAGCTTTTGAAAGGAAATAATAAATAGTATAGCACAATACAATAAAAAGTTGTGGTATACTAGGCCAAAATCTCCTTTCTAAGGAGATTCTCGTATCCAGCAGTGGACTATTCAACACTATTGATGATGATAGCACAATTAAAAATATTTAATACACAACACAATTAATAATATTTTATTTAATATACATTTACATTCAATTTTTTTATGGAAGAGGGGGCAAACGAGCAGACGTGTCACCTGATGGTATTGGCTACCGCCGCCCATGAACGCCTACAACTCAGGAAGGAGTACGCCGGCCTATTAGGAAGGAGTACGCTTTTGGAGGTTTGAAGGTCGTATCGGTCCGGAAATACCGCAGAGGATAACTTGTTCCACAGATTGGTTGTGCGAGGCAAAAAGTGTCTTGAAAAGCGCACAGTGGTGATGTACCAATTATGCAAGTGATGGGGATAAAATTGACGTGTGAAACGATGGCGGAAAGTTGCGGCCGGTATTAATCCGAACAATTCCTCTAATTATTTTAATCATAGCGACAAGTCGCGTCACACCGCGTTATATGCAACATGTACCGTAACATAGCGTGGCGACATGTGGTCACGCCAATAGCCGGTCTGACCCTCCGCATAAGATGTTTCACATCAAAATGAGACTGCTAATGGTGTTTTTATTGAACGTGGCACACAAGAAGAAATTGGCTCGTGTTAAGGACATTAGAAAGTGGGCTTGCTTTGGGACCCATTTTACAAGAAATCTTTTAATTTTAACTAAATAAGAAGTCAATACATATTTATAAACTTACTTTAAAGGTGTATTCCTTTTCAGCGGGATGTTGGCCAGGTTGTCTAAGGAACTCCGACAGAGATAAAACGCCTGCACCTAAAGGTCTTCTCGCCACGGGGCCTTTCCGTTCGCCTGTGCCGGTTCCGCTACTTCCCGCACCCGCCCAACGTCCAACACGTATTACCCACGCGACTAACCATAGTTCTCGAGTTAGATCTGTAGTAGAAAGATCCTGGAAAAGATATAGCATTTTTTAATTTTTGAAAAGATAAAAAAAAATACTATACAAAGGTCGTTTGAGGTATTTGAGTTTAAGAGATATTTTTATGAAACAATAAAACATAACATGTTAGAGAGATATCATGTGGTTTTGGTGCTATAAATTTTTATGTTTTGCCCTCGACTATGTCGAGAGAGAGAGAGAGAGAGAAGAGAATTCACATAAAACAGAAAATAGGTTCTATTAAATTACAATTTTTCACATTCAATTGAAACTAAGTATATAATATATTCTAATATCTGTGGTAAAATAGAAATCGTACGAAAGGGCACTTCAATTTTTAGTTTGCCATAAACTTTAAAAATCTAATCATAATGCAAGCTGTACAGAAATTTAAAAAAAAAAGCCGTGTGGTGTCGTGGGACTCCCTATAGGAACGAAGTTGTGACGATCGAGTAAAACTGATTCGACACGATTTTAATTACAACGCCATCTATGAAATCGGCTATTACCTACATATTTTTCAGTTGGTTTCTAATTAAAACAATTTATACATTGGTAAAATCTCCTTGAGAAATGATGTCGAATACAATATTTTTTGCTCAACCTAAGAACATAAATTTTAATTTTACTGAGATGAAAAGTAATGATTTCCTACCTATTCGATAGATGGCACTGAATGACTGACAAGTGACAATTCAAAATAAAAACTGTCGATACAACCCTTTCACAACGCGCGATAAGGAACTTCGTTCCAATATACAGAAAAAATTAAGGTGAATTATTTATTCTAATAACAATTCTTTTATTACTCTACCGATAAATCTTCCTTTTCGAATGTGGAAAGCAAAACAGTGCAATTGAAAAGTCTAGGAGTAGGTACTAAAAGTATGAAAGTACTTCGACATATTTGTCTTGTTTGTTTATTTATATATTCTCTTATATAAATACAAGAAAATTGCCAAATAAATTAGAGCGGTTACACGTAAAGTACGATATGGATCGCTATCCGAGGACTCATTCATTACAACAGACATACACGTTTATATCTAATAAGTCCCATTCAACACACTACAACTATCAAGTTTTGCACAATAGGCAAAAAACGATATTAAATTATGATTTACTTGGTTGTATAGTTTTCATGAATCGATTCATACTTGACATTGTTAGTTGTAAATGGAAGATGTTGAAAAGGATAAACAATGATTTATTGTGACACGTTACTTGTGTAGGTTATTATTAAAGAAGCAAAATAATATAATAGCCTAGAGAAGAGGAACCCATGACGCTAAATGGGGATTGATTTTCTCGACCGTCATGGGGACCTATTGAATTTGAAAGATTAGGTAATAAAAAGAATGAAAGTTATATAATGTTTCCACTCTCAGCAGTGGGAAAAGCTTCTACTGGTTTTTAAAAATGTTAGGGGAGGAAATAATAAAAACCGGGCGCATCGCGCGTTGGGTTTTTTTTAAATGTGATAAATAAAGGCACGAATAATTATGTAGACATTTAAAGAAGACTTCTTGCCTTGTTTCATTCAAAGTAAAAAAAAAATGTCAACGCCATGATTAGTTTTTGGAACTTTGTGACCCTCCCACTGTCTCCCACCTCAAATCGTCAGATTTTTTAAAATACACATTAATGTGTATGTAATTAACCCAACTTAGCTTAATCTGACACGCTCGAGTAAATCCTGAAATCCCTTAGAGGGCTCGCCCACTACTATACCTGCAGGAGGGGCAAAGCTGGACCCATAATAGTATTTTAGAGTTCCTGGCCGTGAACAAAGATGACGGAATAATTGCGAAAAGGAGCACCTACTGCTTCTGTTAATTTTTGACCGTTAATGTTTTTTAAATTTGGGTTTAAATAATATTAATTGTACATCTATGCGACTATGGCGTTTAAAAATTAATAAGTTTTTCGGAACGTGTACAAACTAAAAACCTATATGATTCAATAATAATAATTGTAGTTCCCTATATATGACTAACTTCTTAAAGGGTGGGATACATTGATGAAATCCTATCCTATCTTAAAGATATTTGTTTAATGCTTCACTCTCAAAAGATTGACTAGATACCTAAATGGCATATTTAATCAAATAAAGTTTTCATGATAAAAAAACAATAACAATGCCAGTTCTCGATATCCTCTGTCAAAGTTAATATCATAATATTGTTTCTAGTTACGTTTAATAGATTCAGGGATAGAAATCAATTAATTACTCATTGCCTTGGAATCTGGCCAATCTAACTAAGATCAGGTATAATCATAATCAAATTTGGGTTATTCATGTTCATTCCAATATTTCAACACAATAAAAAAACTGATCCTTAAATGGCTTTTTCAGCCTATATCTACGCTATTTTTGAGGGCTTAAACCATCTGTTTAAAACGCACAGGACACAATAAGAAATGATTGGTTTTCAGTATCTATAAACATTTGAAATGAAAGTTTTCCTACTTGATTGGTCAACGTACGACGGTCCTTATCCTAATACCCTGATCTGATCTGATTCCAAAGTTAAATCGTATTCCATAGTTACAGCTAAATGAAATTGTCTATAATATCCAAAAAACTTGATTTAGCTGTCACAATAAGGGGGCACGTTGAGGTTTACATTCTTTTTTCATAACGGTTTTACTCTTGACATAATTGATAGATAATACTCACCGCGAACAATGTACTATTAGCATGTAATCGATCTACATAATTCGAGAATCCATCTCTTGCTATCCGTATCCTGAATCTTTCAGAGAGTGGTTGAGCCCTTCTTGCATCGTGAAGCCACAATAATAACTCCGCTTCATCGCCACCCGCGGTATGTCCGAAGTCTCTCATGCTGCACATAAGGTGGTGAGACTGGGCAGCACTAGACGTGAGGGAAGAACTATTTGTTAAGGTGCCAGAGTTAAAACTGCTGCCAGAACCCCCTGCGCGCCGCAGAGTCCCTCGCCACTGTGGATAAAAGACAATTTCTTAAATTTATTAGTTCAACAACAATTTGTTAACACTGTAATGTAATCTCAGCAGCGGAGCGATCAAATCTAGTCTGATATACAACCTCAGAGGTAAATAATTAAGTTAATAAATATAAAAACTTTCCAATCGGGTTTTCGTCCCGCCCCAGTACTAAAACAGCTCTCATTCATATTGCGTCACGTCAGCAGCGTGCTTGTATTGAAAATAATTATTCCTCCTGGTGCACTACTTGGCGTGTACCCTTTTTTTTACGTGTGGAAACCCCCTCGGGCCGTCACCCCACCCCACGCCGACGTTACGGCGGGGTGGTGTGTCGGAATCGGACCGACTAAAACCACATGGTGTGCCACTCTGCGCCTGTAATAGGAGGGATCCGGGAACTGTTGTTATTAAGACATCGGGACCCCTCTTAGCGCCTGCCCGCAACGGCGCGGGCACCACCTTCGGATACTTTCTCTATTTACGAGAAGTCCAGCACACGCGGTCGTCGCCTCCTTGCGGCTGGCCATTATGACGGGTGGAGGGGAAAACCCGTCCGGTCCACTCCTGGCCACACTCAGGGCGGCATGAGGCGCTGGTAAACGCATCTCCGCTGAGAATCCGCTCCGAATTGTGAACTGTGACTACTGTAGTCTCATCACGATATATGTACTATGTATTATTAAAAGAAATAGTGAACTACATGCAGATATGTATCAAACAGGGAACAATATATCTTACTGTTTTAGAAACATCTGATTGTAATAAACGTTTTGCAATAAATGAGAATAGTGGTTTCATTCTCCAATAGCTGATAAAACGTGAGAGATAAAAGCAAGAATCGTCTAAGTATAAAAGTACTATACTGCACTCATTAGTAGAACAATAAACTGTTTTAGCCCTACTTCTATCGGATCTTTAGCTCGAGTAAGAATATATTACCAAACAATACAAAATTACAAACATTCGCACTATCATATTGTTTCTCCGACTTATTACCCACTGTTATTAGTCACAGATCTATTTCTAAATACGAATTTCTTGACAATTTTCTTGTCAATTCTAAATTCTATAACTTGATGTAATTTGTGAGATGAAATAAACGTTTTTATTTATTTTTATTTACGAGGGTGGTCTGAAACGTTTCCGAACGCAACCGAAGATGGCAGCACTCGTGAATAAAAGCTAGTGAATTTCGTTTTCGTTCGTGTTGACAGTTACTCGCCAAAGTTTCAGCCATTTTGGACGCGCAGCTGGGAGAAGTGTGTAGAGTTACAAGATTAAAAAAAAACTGAAAAAAGTCTTATATCTTTGTTAGATCGGAAACTTTTCAGACCACCCTCGTATTTCCTTCAGCAGCTCAGTTTCTTCAGTCTTGGCTTCCCATTTTTATCCAAGCTGTCTCAACTATCTACCAGAAGGCCAACTTTGAGAAATATTGGTTTATGACATGCCTCGTTTGTCCAGTGGTATAGGTTTGAGCTTGCGATTATTTGCAAAATTGACTAATTGGTTCGTTAAATTGGGTTTCAGTATTGGGCAAATATTTAATAACTTATAGCAGCGATAGGCAGCATCGGACGTCTTTTTCTAGCAAGCAAAACCTCTTTTTCTTTGGGGTATTGTTAATTTTTCTAGGTGAATAACTGCTGAGGTGGTAATGGATTTCACCTTAAAACCTTTTTTATTTCCCTGCGTAACCCTCATCAAATTTAATAAATAGAAATAACAATTGTTTCACTTTAACGTCCAGTCAGTTAATAATTTAGTCAATAAAATACTAGAAAATTAAATTATAGTATTTTTTAATATAATTCAATAATAATATTATTCTAATAGTAGTTATTGCATTGCAATGACGCACTGCAGATAGCGATTATATATATATATATATATATATATATATATATATATATATATATATATATATATATATAAGATATATATGACAAGGAACAGTATTTTATTGTATGTTTTACCCATCACAAAACAAATGGAAGGGCCATTTAAATTTATTGTGGTATTTGTTATAATTGTATACCAAAATGTTTCTGTAAGACCAGTAGCGCCATATTTGTTTTATTTGTGTAATGTCTTTGATGCAAAAAACAAAACGTCAGTCGTTAACCAAAAGAGCGTGTATTAATAGGTTATGGGCTAATGTCCTGATTTTCTTAAGTAATTGGTATTACAGTTTAAGAAAAACGCTAAACTTTTGTGTAGATAATGGCTTCAAACTATATACAAAGTGTTCCCAAACTGAAAGGGAGGGAAAATTATGACGAGTGGAGTTTCGCGGCAGAAAATTTGTTAGTGCTAGAGGGCATGATCCAGTACATCAAGACGCCTGTGCCCGGTGCAGAAACAAAGACTGCAGACGATGAAAGGACTAAGGCAAAGTTAATATTGACCATAGATTCAGGGCTGTATGTTCATATCAAGGAAACGAAAACCTCGTTTGAGCTGTGGACAAAGCTGAAAAATATGTTTGATGACTCAGGTTTTTCAAGAAAAATCTCTTTGCTGCGACATTTGATTTCAATCAGGCAAGAAAACTGTGATTCTATGACTAATTATGTAACGCAAGTCGTCGAGACAGCACAAAGATTGAAAGGAACCGGGTTCGCCATAACAGATGAATGGATTGGATCATTGTTATTAGCAGGTTTGCCGGAAAAGTATTCTCCTATGATCATGGCAATTGAACATTCTGGAATACAGATTACCACAGATTCTATAAAATCGAAATTGATCGATTTGGAAGTTTCTTTAAATTTGGACACCAGTGGCGCTGCATTCGCTGCAAATAGATCATTCTCGAAGTCGTGGCACAACGTTCCAAATAAAAATGGCTGTCAACAAAAAACTTCTATGGCGTCTAAAATGCAGTCGAGAAAAGTGATTGCGTGCTACAAATGCAAAGAAATCGGGCACTTTAGAAATCAATGTCCGTTATTGCAGAAAAACAAACAAACGAATGCGTTTAGTGTGGTATTCTTGAGTGGACAGTATAATAAAAGTGAGTGGTATATTGACTCCGGCGCGAGTGCGCACATGACATCGAATGAAAATTGGCTAGAAAACGCTAATTTTATGCCAGTTATGTCAGAAATTACGGTAGCCGATAGTACAAAGGTACCCGTAAAGTGCTCCGGGGACGTGAAAATAACTTCAGATCGCAACTACGAGATTACTGTCAAGAATGTGTTGTGTATTCCAAAATTGTCAACAAACCTGTTGTCAGTGAGCGAACTTATAAAAAATGGTAACAAAGTTGTGTTTGAAAGTAACAATTGCTATATTCGAAACATGAAGAATGATATAGTAGCCACTGCATATTTGATAAATGGTGTTTACAAGTTGAATTTAAAAACAACAGATTGTATGTTAGCAGCACCAGCATTGGCAAGTGCAGAGTTATGGCATAGGCGCCTAGCACATATCAATAGTGGTGATTTGAATAAAATGAGAAATGGCATTGTAGAAGGAGTGAATTTTTCTTCTCCTAGCGACACAAAGAAGGAGAACTGTATAACCTGTTGTGAAGGCAAACAAACAAGGCTGCCATTCTCACGTAGTGAACATACCAGCACGGAGACACTACAATTAGTCCATGCAGATGTATGTGGGCCTATGGAGACAAAGTCAATTGGCGGTTCACGATTCTTCTTGCTTCTTGTGGATGACTACAGTAAGATGACATTCATTTATTTTCTCAAACACAAAAATGAAGTTTTTCAACGATTTAAGGATTTTAAAGCTATGGTTGAGAACCAACAAAACAGAAAAATCAGGATACTTCGAACTGACAACGGAGGTGAATTTTGTAATGGTGCAATGGACAATTTTTTGGCAAATGAAGGTATAATTCATCAAAGGACTACTGCATATGCCCCTGAGCAGAATGGTGTCAGCGAGAGGGCCAACAGAACTGTTGTTGAAAAAGGCAGATGTTTGCTTTTTGAGGCAAAACTTGATAAGAAATTTTGGGCAGAAGCCGTTCATACTGCAGTTTACTTGAAAAACAGATGTGTTACATCTAGCTTAGTAAACAAAACACCTTATGAAGTGTGGTATAAAAGGAAACCTGACTTAAGCCATGTACGTCTATTTGGAAGCCCGGTGATGGTACATGTTCCCAAAGAACAAAGACTGAAATGGGATAAAAAGGCAGAACAATTCATATTGGTTGGATACTCTGATACTGTTAAGGGATATCGAGTCTATGATCCGAAGAAAAATGTTGTCACTGAAAAGAGAGACATAATAGTGATGGAAGGAAAGCATGGAATTGAAAATCCAGAAGAAAATGCTATATGGATACAGAATGATGAACAGAACTTAACGCTAAGAGAAGAGACTGAGACACTACATAATGTGCAAGAATCTAGTATAGGGAACAGAGATTCAGTGGGGGATACTAACATAAATGAATCTCTGTCTAGTCCAAGTTATGATTCATCAGATTATATGGATCCAGATGAGACTCATGTGGATACTTCAACTGATTCTATCACATCAACCGATATTTCAACAGGTGAGCTTCAAAGTCTTGGAGTTGGTGAAGCGGTTAGAGATAGGCGACAGAGAAGACCACCAAACCGTTTTGGTTATTCAAACATGTGTACATCAAACAATTTACCAGGTGCTGAGGAGATCGACTTTTCAGAAGCGCTGAATGGACCGGAAGCAGAACAATGGATGCTGGCCATGCGTGAAGAGTTGCAGTCATTTGAGTACAACGATGCTTGGGAGCTCATTGATATACCAAGTGATACCTCCATAGTACAGTGCAAGTGGGTATTAAATAAAAAATTTGATGTAAACGATAAATTGAGATATAGGGCAAGGCTTGTGGCTAAAGGTTTTTCACAGCGTAGTGGAATTGATTATGTGGACACATTTGCTCCTGTAGTGAAACATTCAACTCTGAGAATGTTATTTGCTCTTAGTACACAGTGGAATATGGACATTACTCATCTCGATGTAATTACTGCTTTTCTAAATGGACACTTGAATGAGAATATCTGTATGTATCTTCCTGTAGGTTTTGAATGTACAGATAAAGGCAAGGTTTTAAAACTTAAGAAAGCAATATATGGGCTTAAACAATCATCCTTAATGTGGTATAAGAGAGTTAAAGATTGTTTATTTAAATTGGGTTTTAAAATAAGTAGCAATGAACCATGTTTATTTACAAAAGTTAGTGAGAATGTTAAAATAATTGTAGCTGTTTATGTCGATGATTTTCTCATCTTTTCAAACTGTAAAGAGGAAACTGATAATTTGAAAACTGTTTTAAGCTCAGAATTTAAGATAAAAGATTTAGGTTGTGTAAAACGTTATTTAGGCATGAGAGTGCATGTAGACAGAAAATTAAATACTGTAAAAATAGATCAAGAACAATATATAGAACAGTTGTTACATAAATTTGGAATGTTCGATTGTAGATCTATTGATACTCCTATAGAATGTAAGTTGAATCTTGAAAAGGCTGAAAATTGTTTAACAGATGTTCCTTATCAAAGACTGATAGGTAGTCTGATGTACTTAGCTGTTCTGTCTAGGCCGGACATAGCTTATTCCATTAGTTACCTAAGTCAATTTAATAATAGCTATAATGAAACTCATTTTAATCAAGCTAAGAGAGTGGTGAAATATTTACAAAAAACTAAACATTATTGTTTGAAATATAGCAAAGATAATAATATAGAATTAGAAGGTTTTGTAGATGCCGATTGGGCAAGTGATGTTTTAGACAGGAAATCCTACACTGGTTTCTGCTTTCTTTTGGCTGGTTCTGTTATATCATGGCAAAGCAGGAAGCAGAAAACTGTATCCTTATCCAGTACCGAAGCTGAGTATGTGGCATTGTCGGAGGCGGCTAGGGAAGCTACATATTTAAGAAATCTGTTGTATGAAATAACAGGTAAATTAAGCATTGTTAAGTTGCATTGTGATAATCAGAGTGCATTGACCTTATCTTCAAATCACCAGTCTCTGAATAGAACTAAGCACATTGATGTGCGTTATCATTATATTAAAGATGCTATAAAGGATAATGTAATTCATGTGAAATATGTATCAACTCTAGATATGCCTGCTGATCTCTTAACCAAAGGTTTATTGTCAGCAAAGCATTATAAATTTTTAGGAATGATAGGTCTTGTTCCTAATTAAAATTTAAGTTTGTTAATTGTTACTTGAGTTATTTTTTAGAAATATTTTGTTAAGTAGGGGTGTTATAATTGTATACCAAAATGTTTCTGTAAGACCAGTAGCGCCATATTTGTTTTATTTGTGTAATGTCTTTGATGCAAAAAATAAAACGTCAGTCGTTAACCAAAAGAGCGTGTATTAATAGTATTCTCATACATAAAGACATACGAGATATAGAAGTGCATCGTACTACATACATACGTACTTTCAAGTTATGAAATCCGACCAGTTCAATTACTCAGCAAAGTGCTGGCCATATTTGGACAGCTTACATTTATAGTGTGGTCTGCCAGCGCAGATTTTCTCTTGAGTCGATTTAAAAAGATGCCAGGCCATATTACTAATACACCTACTGTATCTCAATTACGAATTACGGTTAAATTTCGAGTTCTCAGCGACCACTTCTTTTCTTTAATAAGTAGTAGTCATCAACTAAGAAATGAACTGATGACAAATTGTAGCCAAGAACAATCTCGATTACGTCTGCTTTCAAACAAAAATCTGTCTGTCTGTGAGATAAGTATAGTATAGAGTGGACTGACAGACGGACGGACATAACGAAACTATAAGGGTATTTTGGAACCCTAAAAAACTATATCATAATCGGTGCATTCGTTTAGGAAACACGATGCCACAGACTGACACAAAGACACGGCAAACTTAATAAAACTACCTTTTTGCGTCGGGGGTTAGCAAACGAGACAACCAGTAGAATCCAAACATTATTAATAACATTATTATACCGATGTTACTCGTATATTATTTCTACATAAGTACATTAACGTTTAAAGATATTAAAACGAATAAAATAACTGGCATATATTTACTTTAATACACGCACATACATATTTTCATATTTATGTAGTGTATGTAGTATGTATACAATTTGTAGACTATGTCACCTATATAATCTATGGCGCATTGGATCGCCATTAAAGTTATTGGTTCCTTGACTTAATGTTTTATTTACAAGCTCCCGAATATATTTATGTAAAATACAAATATTTGTAACGCAATGAAGCAAAAAAAATCCTAATACTGTAAATGCTGAATATTATAAAATACTCGATAGTAGTAGTCTAATAACATCCTCCAAGTTCATAAATGCTTTTATTATAATGTATATGAATAGTCTAACCATTATCTGTGCTGCTGCTAACCGTTCATTTATGATATAACATATCGCAAGTGACAATGATTACATAGTCTCCCTATCTCAATACCAATCTCGACGAGAACGATGTTGCAAAGCGTAGCTTTTTTTTAAATTGAGAGTATTATTTTTTAAATGTAATTTTGTTTAGTGCTAGTTAACTGGTGTTTACCAATTAGATTTTTAATTACTTACTGTGCTTTGTATTTGTGAATTCATTCATTTAAAAAAACAAGATGGTTAGCTAACCATTTGTTTTTTATTCTGAATGTGTGTTAAGCCCACAAACCATTAGTAACCCTACTAGTGGTTTGTGGGCTAACAAGGTAATTTCACCAAAACAAAATTATTTTCTACATATAGCATTCATTTTATTTATTGGTATTGCAAGAGTGACTACGTGCTATGAATCGCAGAACAAACAATATAGTAAACAGGATACTTTATTCACCAAAATATAAGAAATTATGACACGACATAACCACCACCGTTGCATCATTTAACAAAGGTGATAAAAGGTCTGGACACTTAAGGTTTGTTCCTATTGTTCTTTATTTAATTACTAGTAGTTCCCCGTAATTTCACCTACATTTTCAGTCACAGCTTTGATCTTCATACATATTAGTTTTTATACACGCTGTATGGGAAAATGAATGAACTGCATTTTTTTTTGTGAAACTGTCTCCGAACGAGACGGCAGCTTCGGTATCATCGCGAGGCTGTCGCATATTCTTGAGCCATTTCTTTGTTCATTCAGTTGAGAGTTAAGACATTATGGCACCACACGTACGTGTTGCGGTTTCAGTTGTTACTTTTATCTTTATAAATAAGATTATAAAAAAAAGAAGATAAAAACGAAAATTAGATAGAACTTATACAAAAAAAAATCATATAATGGAAACGAATGTTATGGAAACGAACTGTACCAAGAATTTATTGATGATGGAGTTAAGAAAATTTTTGCACACATTGATGCAGAGGAGTTGGATCTACTATCTTCACCATTGCAAAGCCAACTTCGGAGAAATGATACGTACTGGCGTCGAGCGATAACTGTAAGAAAAGCTACTTTTAACATTACGCTTCTTAGAGACAGGAGATTTTTATTAACAAATTTATCTCGGAGCTGATATATAACCAGGAATCTTCTCTAAGCCCTCTATTTGTATAATTGCAATTGCTTTTGCCTCTGGACCGCATGTAACGAAGAGCGACTGGAATCGTCGATAGCCCAAACATCTCCGATCGGCTCGATCCCTTGGCGTTGCTTAGCGATGTGGCTAAACTCTGCATTCTATATCGCACATATCATGGAGAGTGCTCCGAGGAGTTGTTCAGAGTAATACCATCCTCATTACTTGTATAGTTGGCGCTCCACTACTGTGCGCTTTTCGAGACACTTTTTGCCCCGCACAACCAAACTGTGGAACGGGTTATCGTCTGCGGTATTTACGGACCACTACGAACTTCAAACCTACAAGAAAAGAGCGTACTCCTTCCTAAAAGGCTGTCGGCGGCGGCGCGCGCTCGGCCGAAGCCCGGCCACATTGACCGAGCTACTTTGCGCGGCAAATGAGTCGCGGTTATTTTGCAGGCCCAAACGTCCACCAAGCATATGTGGTCTCATACATACGTTCCTCCACCAGTTGGTGCTGTTACTATAAAAATGCAATATCTAGCATTTTAGGTGTGTCTATAATGTTCGAAGAGTTGTCTCGATTTTTCCAATCCTATGATCAGTCCCCGACCTCAGCATAATGGTACAAACTAATCTAATCAGATAAGAACTAAACCCTGCAAGACTACGCTTTCAATTATTTTTTTATGGTGGCCGTCTTTGAGTAATCGAGTAATATTTTAGAAAAAAAAACAAAAGATATCTGGGCCTCAAGTCTGCTATTAATATTGTATCAATAGACTGTCATCGGAATAGTTTTGCACTTTTCGTATTCTACTAACTATGTGAGACCAATGACCTGCATCCCGATGACTTGTCACTGAGCTGCCACTGAGACAAATGTAGTCGATGTCTTTTTAATAGTTACGTAAACGGTACATTTTTTACGTAAATATAAAAGAGCAGAATTGAGACCCTGGTCCTTTTCTGAAGTCGGCTGAAAAAAGGTTACCTTTCGTCAACAAAGAATACATAAATAGGTATTCGTAGCCTTTTATTGGTAAAAGAAGCGAATAGTGTTACTTTAAGCCAATAACATCTTTACTCTCATAACTCATGACAAAACACTCACCGCGGCTGCCCTTTCTGCGCTTTCGACATGTACTCTATAAAGCTCCACTAAGCTCATATCTTCAGGATCCACCGCCTCCGCGCCCCGACGAGGTACCAACTCCAACCCCAGTTTTCTGAAAACAATGAATATACGAGTATTATCAAACACTAATAGATGGTAGATTTTTTGTTTATAATTTTCTAACTTAATAGTAAAGGGTGTCTTAGAAAGAGTACACTTTTTTAATTTAGAATCTTTTTTTTTCGTGCAAGTGGCAGCTCTGAAATTTGACAGCTGTCACCTATGTTTATTCCGATTCTTAAAAATGGAGCGCTTTTAGAAAGAACAACACGTTATCATTGTCAAAACTCATTACAAAAATAGGGAAAGTTACGCTGAAATCGCTTGCAAACTTTGCCAAATTTTCAGTAGAGAAAGTGCACCTAATATGTCAACCATTCGAAGAGAGGTCCAAAAATTTGAAGAAACTGTATGGATATTGAGAATCCTTTGCTACAACGTACCGGTCGGTCTCTTAAAAACATTGCTGCTGTAAACGAGTGTCGCCGAAAACCCGAAAACATTTCACAACACAACAAACAAATTTCACGAAACACCAAGGGCGAATTTTGACAAAAGACCTCCACCTTTATGCGTACAAGATTCAGCTAACTCAGGCGCTCAAACCAGCAGATTATGGAAAGCGCCGGCAATGCGTTCAATGGGTAATGGAGCAAAGTGAAGTCATTTCCATCTGAATGGCTACGTGAATACACAAAATTGTCGAATTTGGGGCTTAGAAAATCCTCATGCAATCCATGAGAAACAAATGCACCTACAACGAGCAACTGTCTGGTGCGGATTTTGGGCAGGCGGAGTAATTGGGCCTTACTTTTTTGAAGATAAGGCCGAAATTTCAGTGACTGTGAACGGCATTCGTTACAGGAATAGGATATTTGAGTGAGGTTACCGGAGCCCAAATGCCCCCTCCTGCTGTCTTGAACGAGAGGGACTCCAAGAGCGGCAACGCATTTGTGACTTTTGAGTAGCAGGTGTCCATGGGCGGCCGAAGTTGCTTACCATCAGGTGACCCATCTGCTAGTTTGCCCCCTTATACCATAAAAAAACGGACTTCTTGTGGCCTCAACTAAACGGCATGGATCTGGACAATATGTGGTTTCAGCAGGACGGCGCCACCGACGATTTTTTCTTTGGTGTTTTGTTAAATCTCGGGTTATATGCGAATAAACCAGAAAGATCGGTGAGATAAGCCACATCTCTGTGTAAATAAGTAATCTCTGTGTAAGTAAAATTTCATGAAAAGAGTAATGGCCTGTCATCAGACCCGTGGGGGGCATTTTCCTGATATTTTATTCCATACTTAATCGGAACATGTCTTCTTTACAATCTAACTCTATCACAACTCTTTCATTAAATACGTGTTTTTATTTTAAAATAAAAAAGTGTAGGTATTCTGACTGAGACACATACTATTAGTTGTCGTTAATAAAGAACTAACTTTTTGAATTACATTTTTAACAAACATATTAACGCAAGTTTGTTAAAGAGATAGGATCTTGCGACAAGTTTCTTTAAGAAAGAATTAGATATGCCATAAGGACAGGGTCATCAAATGGTCAGGTGTATGATGTTACAATAGTCAATAGTCTGCTGTATAAATGCATGTATAATTTTAATTTTTTTGCTTTACCAGCAACCGAAATTACTATTATTCCCGTTAAGCCCCCCTTCTAAACTAAATTGTTTGTGTTAGGAGTGGGTTTACGTCGATAGTGTACTGGTTAGGTCTGGAACTCACGACCTCTTGCTCGCCTTAACCACTAGTCTATCTAGAATAAATGTAAGTACACTAGAATCACACTTTAAGCCTAACTAAAAACCTACAAATGTATGCAAATAGTGAACGAATGACGAAATACTAATGAGAAACCGGTATGTTGAAATGAATTTCCTTGTATAAAAACCCTGTACGTGCATTCTACGCCGTGCGAATAATGTGAATCACCTATACGGGATTCTTGGAATTAAATAAAGCCTCATTTTGTTATATCCTTTTTTAAGCTACCATGTATTTAAAAAGTTAATGATAATTATTATTCTAAGTATCCTTAGAGCATTAAACCAAAAAACGCTCTAAGTGGAAATCAAATTAGATATTTTAGCTAAGTATTATAACGAATTGTTTTTTATTCCATAATTTCTGAGCATAAAACGGAAATTGTGAAAAAACGAAATTATACATGAAAATATTAACTATACAGATTCTCAGTATTACCTCTTTTTATCATATACCTATACCTGCTCTTGTTAAGTAGCTACTACACTTAATTCAAATGGTTAACCTGATAATATTTAATATATTTCAAATTCAATACCTTTTCGCCTCAGTGCGGAAAGTATAAGGCAACGTATTTTTTTTTTTTTATCACAGATTCGAGTTTGAAGCACTTGCAATTTTTTCTTATTGTTCTTATTGCTAAAGTAGGTATATTTATCTCAATGTGACCAGAGACGCTTTGCCAAAAGCGACACGACAGAGAAGAAAAGATTTTTTTAAACTACATCTTAAAACAACAGTGCAAAATGTAACAACAATTTAATTATGTGTTAGTGTCACGTAATACTAAACACTTATTTTATAAACTAAAAGCTTCTTTAAGAAAAATAAAACAATTTGAACATAATATCAAAAGAAAAACCATTAAACCTGCAGAAACTTTAATTTTTTATGTATTTTCGTCCAAAATATAACATGATTCCATGTTGGTTTAGGTTTAAGGCATAAATCGATTTTTACCGAAGATAAGAAGTTTGGCTTTACTGCCTATCTGTAAACATCGCCCTACTGCTATTGTGTGTGCTTCCAGCACTACAATATAATGATGTGAGAGATTGTTACTGCGACAATAGTTTAAAATTCGTTGTGTCTGATATACTTATGTATTCGTACACAAAACACGTCACTTAATCAATACAATCATATCAATATACCTCATTGACCTCGTAGTATAAATTCGGTTCTTTAAATACAGTTATCTCACGTTTTGGATTGGTCACGTCTTCGAATTGCGATTATTTGTTTTCCAGTTATCGTATAACATCGTTAATAATAAGTTTTTAAAATTAGTAAAAAATGATTTTAACTATACAGGGCTATCTACTAATCACGCCTTTAAAGGTATGAAGCTGGATTTTGGCGTTTTTTAAATGACCTCTCTTCATTCCTATTTAAGAACAAGACCAGCTTGGTAGATAATTTGGTAAGGGCTACGAAGCAATCAGTGCAGTTTTCCAACAATTCAGTCCAAGTGATCTGGCCTGCAATTTAGTAAACATAAACCAAAGGGGTAGTTTGTTCTCATACTCGTGTAATCAACTTGTGAACATTGCAAATAAACTCAACTTTTTTACGAGTTGTATTTATAAAAATTAGTAATGAAGACACAGTCCACACTTTTATAGTATCAATAAATTGCTATTGTGTCAAATTCGTTAGGTTTAGGTTTTCGCTATTTTAACTTAGTCGTATTTTATCCTGATCACAACTGAAAATAATCTTACGAGTTTCGACAATGATCAAATAAGTTATTATCACATCAACAACCTTTAATAGTACACTGCTGGACATAGGCCTCACCTTGGGAAGGAGGTTTTGGCCCATTATACCACGGTGGCCAGACGGGTTGGTATAGGGTTTGTTTCAAGTTTTCCTTCTCTCTGCAGTGCTGTTGTCCTGCGTAGTTTGCTTCCTTAGTCGGCTCTTACGACACCCACGGTATGAATAGGGGTGGTGACACTCTGTATTCTTAATCCGTCACCACTCGGTTATTATAAACCAATTTAATTAATTTCTGATGTTTATTTTTATTTGTACTAATATATGGCAACCGAGATGCCGGGTTACCTGATGATGAGTAATTACAGCGACTCATGGACAATGGTAACCCGGTGTGTTTGCGGTCTTTGAGTCGAGGGCTCACTCTCTTTTTGAAGATTTAATGGTCGCGCAAGTCTGTAAATACCGCGGCAGAGATTGGACCCACAGATTGGTTGTGCAAGGCAAAGAATTTTACATAACCGCTATTATTGGTCATTTATTATTTCACTTTTCTACTTCGCTCAATTTTTCTGATTTCTCATAAACTTCAAACAGCAGTAGGTGGTTAAAAATAGATTTCAATATTCTTTTACATAAGTTTGAATCCATTCATAATGCCGCTTAAAAAATATTGTCTGATAGGCTTCACGCATGTAGATACTATATTCACACTGAATCACATTATCTTTTCTGTGACCAAATATCACACCGGACAACAAATAGTGTAAACGTTGGCCGTCTAGTGTAAATGTGTATTGGCCGTCTTCTTGTTATCACTGTTCGCTGTATATTTTGTAAATATGTACTAAAATTGGTCCTTCGACTAATCACAACATGTTTTATTTTTAAATATAATGACTTAATATTGACATAAACAAGAAGACACATATTCGTATATAGTTGAGTTAAGAAATAAGAGTGGAATATTGTTACCGTCGAAGTATGAATAGTCGGTGTAAATTAAATACAAACAATAAAATATTATTGTTTCGTAATCGATCGAGTAGAAAATTACCTTACAAATGAATATTTATTAAGCATAATAGAGCACCTCATTTCACCTCCTGATTTAATACAACACTTCGTTTTATAAAAAACCTTAGTATTATTTTTATAGAAAAATATAAAAATCATTTACCCATTTGAAGCTTTCCATAGACTTATTACTATTTGTATTATTATTAATGTTCTTTCAGCGGTATTTCAACTTTTAATCTATATTATCGACCTGATTATGACAATCAATAAATTGTAAGCCTTAACACCTAGGGGCAGGATTCTCACGGCCCGGGAACGGGGCAGGATTCTCACGGCCCGGGAACGGGCCAGGTACCGCAGGCGACTCAGGCGCCGGAGGTCCCAGAATGACCTCCGTCCTCCATAAGCGCAGGCCTGGGGGTGACAGGTGAGGCCATCTGTCACCCTAGCAGAAGCAGGCCGGGGGGGCGGCGAGCGCGTTGCGAAGCACGCTCGCTTCCAGGGAGCAGAGGGAACATGGGGTTCCCACACGGGGGGGTCGTCTACTCGTCTGTAGATGGCCCGAGGTATGTCGGGGCACCAGGGACTTCCTTTCTAGGGTATACCTGGTTCCCCGGCTATTAGTACCCGAGACGGCGTGCGGTTTTAGTCGGTTCGAGTCCGACATGCCACCAATAGGTGATATCCAAGGGGATTGCCGCACGACACGTGGGGGGGTCGTCTACTCGTCTGTAGATGACCCGAGGTATGTCAGGGCCCCAGGGACTTCCTTTCTAGGGTATACCTGGTTCCCCGGCTATTAGTGCCCGAGACGGCGTGCGGTTTTAGTCGGTTCGAGTACGACATGCCACCGACAGGTGGTATCCGAGGGGATTTCCGCACGGAAAAAAAAAAAAAAAAAGGGGATTTCCGCACGGCAAAAAAAGAAAAAAAAAGGGGGCAGGATGCTGAGAGTAATTCGCCTTGTAATTTTGAATCTCGCGCAGTTAAAGTCTGTTACAGAAAAAACTATTTTAAAAGCCAGTCTTTAGACTGAGCTTTCAATCAACTCGCGTGCTTTAAATAGAACCTAAGCTACAGACACAATAGGTATAGTTTTCTTTAACAGAGTGGCTTGTGTTAAACTTTAATGTGCAATTATTACTTCCATCTGAGATCGTATGACTTAAGTAAATTAACCTTATTATTTTTAAGTCATTAACATCCCGCATATTAAACTCTGCTCACTGCTCCGTATCCAATGGCAATCGGCAAAAGACAAAAATCGCATTACTAGACGAACTGACTTCTTAGCTAATATTTCGCTCAGTTTATTACCTCACTACATTGTTAGATATCCCTACTTTCATAAATTCGTAGTTTCAATGGACCACTGATAGGTATGTGTTTCTTCACCTAACACCAGCCCTATATAAAAAAGCCAGTGCATCACCTTTGGAGATAATTAAGAACAATAAGGATTATTTTCTACTTCTTGTTCTATTTTATGTTAACTTATACTTAAGTTACTATATACTCAAGATACTTAAGTTTTTCTGCACTTAAAACTAGTTTCAGGCAATCAGAGTTCAACCGATACTTGAGACGTCTTTTGAAATACGGGCCTATATCTCTCCCGGTCCCGCGCCACAGTCTCCTTCGCAATCATAACTTGCTCGCAGAAGACGGAGGCGAAGGTCTATTCTGTTATTCCGTTTCCTATGTAGTAGGTACTCTTTAGAATGCAATAATATATGTCACACATCTCACACACGGCCGTCTGATCCCAAACTGGGCAGAGCCTGTACTATGGTAACCAGACTGCTGATAAACTTATAATTATAATTTTAAATAGATGCATATTATAGATAAATTACACCCAGACATAGAACAAATGACCGTGCTCATCACACAATATTTGTCCGTGGAATTGAACCCACGACCTCCGGTTTAGCAGTCAGTGTCACCACTAGACCAACAGGCCTGTCAAATGCTGTAGTGTGTGTGTAATTTGTAGTAATAGTTGAAAAAGTTATTTAGGAATGACCTGTCTAGTGTGAAACCATATTGTAATATATATTTTATTACAGGCACGCTAACATTACGGTACATTATGAAGACTAAGTATAGATCGTCTAATCTAAAATAAGATAAGAGTAAAGTAAAATTAATACAATCTGAAATACACTGAGGATGTAAAATAAAAATTATATATAATAGAATTTCGTGTAATTAAGGTAACAAAAAGCTGATGTCTACCACGTACCTGTAAAATGAAATTGCACGCTGTACTTACGGTGGATTAATCAATGTAATAATTTTTCAAAGCAAAATCAAGTGTGAAAAGCACTGTTTGAAATAAACAAAGAAAGAACTCCGTGGGTCATATGTGCATATCATATGTATATGTGCAATTACGAATGGTGTAAATAACTACACATTAAAATAATTCCTTATTGCGGAGTTATATTATTTACATCCAGAT